GTTTAACTTCCACAGTGTAAGCTCTGACAGTTTGATTAAATTAAAATACCTCCGATTGTTACATAGTAGGCCTAAATGTTTTTTTTTTATCTATTTTCACTACAGTTAAGTATAAATCTTAAATATACTCTAACCATATTAATGTTTATTTGTTTTCATACTAACGATTATTTACTGGTTCATGAAAGAAATGCTTGTTATTATTTAAAATTGTACTGGTTGTTTTAGTGGAAATTTGTCCTTTCTTTGATTTCGGATTATGTAAAAACTAAGCTTTCTTACGAATAAATATAAATAAATAAAGTAGTCTGAGCTCTATATTAGTTTTAAAGGTGAGTCTGACCATTATGTTTAAAAATTTGTTGTAGGAATGCAATATTGTTACAATGTATGTAGTGAAAAGCGGTCTTTGCCGACTGGACAGACCTTTAGCGCATGTAAATACAAGTCTACATCATGTAAAACCTTTGTACAATCAAGCACTATTATATTCTACTGCCTGTGCATAAAACATACATAAAAACTACAATATAAATTTTGACTTGGTAGTCAGGACTCGGGAAATAAAAAATACACCAATCACATTTATTTTTTAGAATATTTTCTTTGCCGATGTGTAAATTTACAAACTTACAGTTCAACAAATCATTATTTTCTATCGTAGTCAAATTACAATTTACAAAATAAACTTCGGTTATTTTTTGTTATCTAAACGTATTTATACATACAGGGTGAGTTTTAAATTAGTTCCCCCCCTTTTTTTCTACATTTCTTAAGATATCAACTCCGTACCACGTCAGATCATTGTAGAGTAGTTAGTACTTCATTTTGACTGGGTGTAAATTTTTGACCGCCATCTTGGATCCGCCATATTGGATACAAAGTTTTTTTTTTTCAAATGTAAAGGTAGGGTTGTGACCCATCGTTTGAAACTACATTTTTATGCTGAATACGATGCTGCAATCTGTTTTTTAAAAATCTTGATCCATTTTAAAGTTATGAGAATTTTTGTAACATTATTTTTAGCCCATTTTAACATTGTGCATTTAGAAACCAAGAACATAATCGCAAAATAGTGCTAGATAAAGATAAGTATACACCACATAATATACATAAATCTACTAATCGAAAGGTCGGCGGTTCGATCCTGAGAAAAGTGTGTAGCTTTTTGATGGTTCGAAACTGGACCCAGCAGTCCTTGATCATTGGGCTTAGTAAAATTGTTGTGACTAATAAAACAGCTGATCTTAGTCAGTAAAGCTACACACGGCATCACACTCCATTCTACACTTATTCTTCACTCATATTTGGGTTAAAATGCGCGCTTAGGTGGCTAATGATAATGATAACAAAATATTATACCCCCGCTGCAGGAAACCTGCCGACTAAGCGAATTTCCATTGATTTTCAATTAATCTATTAAATTAACATTTATGTAACGAGTACCTAGGTTAGCTGCTACAGGGAAACTAATAAAGTGTGTTTTTTTATTGAAATATCAATAGCTTAGTAAGAAATAAATAAATCCGCCAAGTTTGATCAAAATATATCCATAAACAAGCCAACTACAACATATTATAATATTCTCCATAAGAATAACAGGGGAGTTTTAAATTAACAATTTTTTGAATTTTCTCCGTAACCAATCACCGTACAGAACCACTTTCATATACTAAATTATTTGTTTTTTAAGCTCAAAAGGTCTGGAGAAAAATTTATAAATTTTGTGTTTTAAGGGTTAAAAATGAGAAATACCCATCATGCTAGTTCGCGAACTCATTCAAGTTTATCGGGCCTTACACCTTCGAACCAAATTTTATCAAAATCGGACAAAAATTACTCAAGTTATCGTGCGGATTGACACATATACATATCTCTATAGATATATATATATATATATATACATATATACAAATTTGAACGAATGGTGTTTTTGGCCTCTGGGGACATCAAAATGAAAAGTAAATCGGTCCGGGGCCTAGGTCTTACCATGAGACCTACGGTAATAGCTACTTCCCTATAGGGAGATTCGCTAATAAACGGAAAATTAGCATTTTTAACATTTTTATGTGTAGAAAACTTGTTCTTTTTATCTCTATTTGTAACCTAAATGTATATTATGGCTTTATCAAAACTTACATCATTGGTCGAGTATGTATTATATATAATCTCCCCCCCCCGCCGTTTAACATTTATGTAACTATATTTTCGTCATATATTCCGTACATCCCCGTGAATGGGCGCACGCACCCCCCTGAGGAGAGATAAGGATTGTGACCACTTATAAGAATTGCCTCCCATTTCCACTAAACTGAGTTTTACACTTTATTACTGCTTAATGCTTACAATTAAAGCCCCTATTTCATGAATGAAAGGCCCATGTTGACAGAGCCAATTAAATGGTCATCCCCCTTCGCTGTATTTGCGTGTTTCGCTCAAATTTTGTTGTTAATTACTTTAATAGTGACCTCAATGTGCGTTATGAGCGATTATGTCTTCTATGGTTATCCATCAAGATACGGCTGTCCGAGAAATAGTTAATTAGTTTAGTACAGTTGTGTCATGGATTAAATGCGAAAAGCAAAAGAGATCGCGAATTTATCGAAAATATATCTATAAATACAGTACCCCAGCCGCAATAAACTTGCTGACTATGCGATTTTCTATTTACCTTTCACTTAAATATTCCCTTAAAATTGTCACATTTTTTTCATTTAAATAAGATTTAATAATAATGAGTACTTAGGTTTGCTGCTACTGGGGAGGGAAAAAGGATCAAGTTAATAGTCCAGTACGAAGTCAGTACATTTTTCAAATTTTCTAAATTTTATTCCAGAGAAAGGTATAGGACGTTTTATTGAATTGTTAATAGCTTAGTATAAAATAATCAAATTTGCAAATTTGACCAAAATATATCCCTAAAAAGGCAGAATTTGACCGTTTATTTATTCTCTATAAGATTATATGGGGATTAAAAATTAAAAGTTTTTTTATATTCTCCCCCACAATTAGGTGTACATCACTTCAACATAATAAGTAAATTTTTGTTTTTAGCTCTACAAAGAAAGTGCAAAATATTATTTCTGGGTCGAAAATTTGATCAAAATATATCCCTAAAAAAGCAGAATTTGACTGTTTATTTATTCTCTATAAGATTATATAAAGATTGAAATTAAAAGTTTTTTTTTATTTTTTCCTCCACAATCAGGAGTATAACATCACTTCAACATAATTATATAGTCATTTGTTGTGTTTAGCTCTACAAAATAGTCTACAAAGAAATTGCAAAATATTATGTTTTAGGGTCAATATTGAAAAACACAAATGTTTACGCTAAACATCCCCACAGATAAATTTAATACAGTAGTAAAATAATACTTTCGTACCAATTTTGTGTTGTTATCAATGGTATAAACCAATGTTTTGTGGGTCCTTCTTACTCGTAAAAGGTAAGTAAAACTGTTTCTAGCCTCACGGTAATAAATGTGTTTATGATTGTCACCGATGCAGTATTAGGTATGTGTAAGCGAGGTTTTTTACTTAACGAGAAAAGGAAGCCATTTGAAAATTGCGAGAACACCAACTACTCAGCAGAGTGTGTTGTTTCATCATTTAGATTAATCTCAGTCACAGGTTGGCGCGGTTGTATTAGACATTAATGTAATAGCTTTGCAGACATGCAACACGACATTGTATCACTTTGTGTGAAGAATGTCCACATTAGACTATTGTCTAATTAAACAAGATGTACAATCATATAGAAAAGTGGCAACGCCGCAAAACCGGCCTACTGGAGCAGCTGTTGCAATGAGTCCTTGGAGGCTAGACGTTCTAACTCATAAAACAATTAAAAGGCTAAAGATAAAATTTCTAATCTCACAGTGCACTAGACATTTAAGTCACTATCACTTTTTTTGCATTTGAAAAACATATTTTGAGATGGTAAATAACTCTTCAGAGGCTGATTGAAATTAACATTTCTCTTATGACGGGCAGACTCAAGATGCCGTTAGCTTCCATGGACTCCCTTGGAAAACAATACAAAACTTTCGAAAATTCCTAAACTCACAGTACCGGTATACTATAAAATATTTATAGATATCCAAATTATAACCACTTTGTTTTTTGAAAAATATATTTGGATTAAAAATTAACTCTCCTGCAACTGTTTGAAACTATCCAAGATGGCCGCTAGCCTCCATCTTGTACAACTATCTCAACTATTGTTAACTATCTTGTAGCGCAGGACTCTGTACAACGTTTATGTTTGTTATTATTATTCCCATTGGGGGAGCGAGCTGGTCTAGTGGTCAGAGCGCGGGACTCCGGTTCCTGGGGTCCCGGCTTCAAATCCCGCCAAATCACCAATGGATTTTATCTAAGTGCTAATGCCGTAACCCCTAGGTCTAGCCTGAAGTAATGTGAAAAACAATTCCGGGCTCGTGCCTAGCGTCCTAGGACAAAAAAAATATTATTCCCATGGCAATAGGCCGGCCGGTGCGACGTTGCCACACACCAACGCCACCGCGGCCTTGTATTAGAGTAGGTTATTGGGGTAGAATGGAATATTTTAAACTATAGAATTATCATAGAATAAACTCCTTGGGCGATGGATCTTTAAGTAGAAAAATGCATCCTCCAATCTAACACAAACTAACATCCAACACAAATTTATCTTTCAGAACCGTATTTAAAATAAATTAAAGAATAAATTGGCTTTAACTTGTCCGGTAAGTCGGTAATTTTTTAGTGCCTGCCTTCAATTATAAAGGTCGCTGGTTCTATTCCAATCTGATAGAGATATTTTCTGGTTCAAACGCCATTCAATCAATTAATGAATGATATCATTTAACAAAAGGTCGAAAATTGAGTAACAAAACCAGGGTTTGGACAGTTTTTTTTTACGAAAAACTGTTGGAATTCCAATGGCATAGAAACACAAACTATAAGAAGGTAAACGAAATTTATTTTTTATAAAGTTTAATTTTTAACTTTCAGAGATGAGTGATGACATTGAAATGGTCCTGAAACAGGCCCAACAAGAGTCCCAACCTAGTTCTTCCCGAAGTCGGGAACGAAGCCGCACCCGAAGAGAAAATACCATCGGTATTCTTCGTCTGGACACAACAGATCCTCGGCGATCTTCGGGCGGCTCCGTGGAACTTCGGACACCTTCGCAGCTAAGTACTCAGGTGAGTTCTGCTGTTGATATAAAATAGATAAAAAATATATAAATCAATGTGCAATAAATGTTGCCCTTAACTTATATGGTTATAATCAATACAAGTAACTTAACAATACAATGGTGTGAGATGATCTGTGTAGCTTTTTTACTGACTCTGTTTCAGCAGTCAGGATAGTTTATTAAAATCCCAATGATCAGGAACAGCTGGGTTCAGTTTCCACCAAAAAGCTACTGACTTTCTCATGATCGAACTGACGACCTTTTGATTGTTAGGCGAGCACCTCATTAACACCACTCAGCTACCCAGCCAATGTCTCCATTGCCTGTATGTGAAACGTAAAGAAAGTTGAGGGGTAATCCCGTATAGTACAAGAACCGTAGCTAGGTAGTTCAGAGGTTATAGTGCTCGCCTGGTAATCAAAAGGTTGTCGGTTCGATCCTGATAAAAGTGAGTAGCTTTGGTTCGAAACTGGGCCCAGCTGTCCTTGATCTTTGGGCTTTAAATGCTCCTGACTAATGAAACAGCTGATTTTAGTCAGTAAAAAGCTACACAGATCATCTCACACCATTCTACACACATCCTTCACTCATATTTGGGTTTTAAAAATACGCACATGTGGTGTCTCCATCTCAAACGAATATGAATATGGATATGAATACTGATGAATTTTAAGTCACGATGTTGATTTTGGTAAATTACAAAACTAAACTAACTTTTAAACATTTTTGGATGAAAATAAAACTAAAAGCAAATCGTCAAGCAGTCAAAACACTCTACATTTAGAAAAACAAACTGTATTGAGCAAGTTGAAAAAAAAAACAGTGACCTATTTTAGTAAGAAAAGAAGAGGTGCGTAGAGAAGACCTACTTTGTTTGAGTGGACAACATTTAAACGGCAATAACAATTAAGCTACACAAAGTAGGTACAAAGTTGCGTGTTTACTTATCCCCCCCCCTTCTTTGACGCAGCACGCAATACAAAGGCGTGTGGGAGAGTATATGTAGAGGGGGGGGGATAGTATGTTGGTTAACATGATAAAAACATACCACTTAGAATATGGTTTAGTCCATTTATACGCCTTGGGTTTAGTCAATGATACTATACACAATTTGTGTTGACTTTTTGCCTTTTTCCACATCCTTTTTGTGGTTTTGGAATGATATTTATGATCGTGAGTTTTTAATATTATCGAGTTTTTTTTAGCCTAATCAAAGCTACAGTAAGTTTTGTATATATTTGAACACAACTACGACAAGAACTTAAAAACTGTACGCATTAACAAACATTTAGAAAGCAATATCGCAATTAGTACGGTGCAATTAGTAAAAAAAAACTGCTGGTGAAAGGTTACACTATTTTGGGGGGGAAGGGGGGTTAAAGTTGAAATTTTTTTGTTACTATTAAATATTTTGAAAACCAAGTGGTCTATCACAAATTATGTTATTCCAAAAATGATCAATAAAAATTTAAACAAAGAAAGGTCCTCTTCGTAATCTTGTTGAAACGAATGGTTAAATAGTTACAAAAGCTTAAAAGTGGATATTCTTGACAAAAATAAATAAAATAAAAACACATCTTATAACAAAGTCACTGGACATAAAGTTAATTTCAAATAATTTATTCTTTTATGTACTATCTTCTCAGGACAAGGACGAAAATCTGTAAGCATTATTTGATGTGCACCTCAAAATAAAATTCATTTGTTAGTAAAATACAATGCCGTAAATCCAAACTCAAACCGGTGGAGTCAAAAGAGGCAACCGTTGAAATATATCTTGAATTAGCAATTTTGAATGTTTCAACCACCCCCATTTTTGACTGAAATATCCGTTTGAGTTCGGGTGTGTGCTATTGTATCCTGCTAATATAGACCTTTATTTGATATGCATATGAAGCAATGCTTACATTCATTATTTTCCACTGGCTTCTAGCGGGCGCTCCAAAATTGCAAATTTAAGAAATCTTTCAACTGCGTGCAGACGTCCATCTGCAAACAGACTGACGCCTAGGGTGAGTTGGCCTTAAAAAGGGCTATGACATACCAAATTTAAATTAACATCGTTCGAGCCGTTTTTTGAGAATCCATTTCCGTCATTTTATGGGGTTTAATAAGTAAATACCTATAAAAAAAAATCTGCATATACCATAAATTAGTACTCTCATACAAAATTCCTCAAAACCTGACCATATAGGTGTACCGTGAGTCGGGTTGTAGCTTTATACATATCCACACACACAGATATCACAGATATCAATTTTTTCTGTTCAGGAAGAGTTATTAACCCAAAACAAACTCAAAAAAGATTAATATACTTTCCCCATATACCATGAATAGGGGAAAAACTAAAACAAACCGTCTTAAACAAACAATCCCTCAAAACAACCCTCTACGAAGCCCTGTTAGTTGTGAAACTAACATCACTCCCACAATGCAATGATGAATATACTTTCCCCATATACCATGAATAGGGGAAAAACCCAAACAAACCTACTAGTCCCTATAAATTGCGAACTACCATCCCACAATGCACTATCGCACGCAGCGTCATCCATTGTGGCAAAGTTCACCTTCGTGGAACTACCCCGTCCCGTCCAAGGTCGCCGTCTTATCAGGTAATGCCACATGTCTACACGTCCACAACAAGGGGCTGCTCTAAATCAGGGGTAATGACAACACGGGGGGGGGGGGGGGGGTGAAAAATGTGATTTGCTGGGTGTGGTCGGATCGTGTAGTGCATGCAAGCAACAGGCTGAGTCCGAGACAGTGATTCAGTGATTGCCCTACGTTCGGACGATAAGGTTCGTCCGATAACTTGTCGTGCGTTGCGTATTTAAGTGGGATTTTATTGTTTTGAGTTTGTCGGAAGATTGTTGTTGTTGTGGGGTAGAATCGTCGTTATGGATCAGCCGAAGAAACGTTTAAGGTTAGTTCCGTCTGTGTACCGTTTTGTTGTTTACAATTTGATATTTTTGCTATTTAATTTAAAGAACTATTTAAAAACAAAAGTATATTGGGTTCAGGGGGGACACTAAATGGATATTGAACCACCACCACTGAAACTCGAAAAATTTGGACGAAAACAGTAATTTTTCCATATACTATTTATGGGGGGGAGAAAGTAAATATCCAAACTATTACACTTACATTTTGTTTTGCTCTGCTAAATGACTATCTTTCACGAGGACATATATTTAAATGAAGACAGAATCATTCCTGATCCATACGTCTTTATTTGTGTTATGTACTTTGTACATATTTCTTGTTGAACACTTAAGTTTTAAAATTTATAAAAGATGAACCCTCTTTTTTGGTATCAATTGAGAAAGAAAGATATGATTTGAATGTATACAGACTCGTATGTGTAAATATTACCAACTGATAGTATTTTTTGACAACGTAATAATGTACTGTAATATGAGTCAATTTAGTTAAAAATTTAAAAATATACTCAAGTCTGGTTTGCAACAGGGGAAGAATAGTTAGAATAATGTGGGTATCTAAATCTACCGTTTGTTTTATAAACATTTATAATTGTTTTGTTGAATCCGAGCAAAGTTCGGTCTTTAACTTTGGGCTATAATACACACTTAGGTGGTGTCCCGATAATTGATAATATGCCTATAATAATGATAATAATAATATAAAATAACCGACAGTTAAAATTGCATCGAGATACAGGTAGACCTATTTATCTGCATTTTGTTCTTATAATACGTATCATTTGACCAATACTGCTGTAGAGACTTTAACATCACTATCAACACGCAGTTCTTCTTCTTCTTAACTATGTTTCCACTAATGTCTATAAATGTCCACTTGACGTTGTGACTGTGCTTGTTATTTCTTTACTGATTCTATTAATATCTATTGACACGATGAAAAGTTAATTCTGCTTGCTATATTAATATTTATTGAACACGGCTTGACTGTCGAGTAGTATTTATTGAAGCATATAATCAACACACTAATTTTTATTAATAACTAACAACAAAACCCGGCATTGCCCGGGTCAATACCCGGGCAATAAATTATACTAATAAATTATTTACTAATAAAAATTAGTGTGTTGATTATATGCTTCAATAAATACTACTCGACAGTCAAGCCGTGTTCAATAAATATTAATATAGCAAGCAGATTCACCATAGTGACAATGAAATGCCGTTTTTGATTGAGTAATTCAGTATCTTAAACTTAACTGATTCAAACAATCAATATCTCAAAAAAGCCTTTATTTCAAGGAGCATTTTAAGACCAAGACATATAAAATAACTAAAATAAAAATGGAGTTACGTAACGTATCATTGATTGCAGATAAGCCCTAAAATAATTATAATTATTGTTGATTCGTGATTCAGCAGCGTGCTTCAGGTACGTCCGATCTTAATAGTCAATAGCTCAAATGAAAGAGGTATTTCACAGAAGGTTCTTAGACCAAAACACATAGGATAATGTTTTTTATCTGAAGTAAGAATTCGAAAAAAATGTACAAGGAGAAAGTTGCTTTTGTGCATAGCTCGAATATACGTAGGATAAAATGAATGTTGATGCTTGATGTCAAAAATCTGTTCGTGCTTAGACCTACCTTTAATTTAAGACAAAAATTCTGAAAATCGGTCGGGTAGAAGAGCCAAACCGACTCGGACAAGAAAAACCCAACATTTTTAAATATATACCTAGATCAATAAACTTGATCTATTTATATTTTTATCAGTAGTGTAATTTAAATATTCATAAAACAGGGACTATAGTGCGTTCAAACAGCCGTGGCACCTGACGGATTAGGAGACCTCATGGAAACCCTTGGGGCCTCCTAATCCCTCAGGTGCCACGGCTGTTTGAACGTACTATATGCATATTTGAGTTGTGACTTTTGGCACAGAAAACGTGTGCTTTTGGATACTATATTTTTAAAGATGGCAAGAAAACATAATTACAGCCTATACACATATCCGTAGAAATTCTTAAATTAAGCATATCAGTAAATTTGGACAAATAAAATATTTACTTAATGATTGTCAACCTCGGAAATGTTTAATGTAAACCACAGTTTAAAAGCAGGTTAGGTTGGTAAAACAGGTGTCAGTTGCACAGGAGAACAAACTTTTCCTGATAAAATAAAAGGATGGATCTTTTGACTTGTCACCAAAACATCCAAAGTTTTACAAACTTGTCTTGAAAACATGTAACTTTAGTAACGGACTGACTTTGCACTTTTACTGTGCTATTTTAAAATTGCAGACTTTTTATTTAGGAAAACCCGGTGATGATGATAAATAAATAAGGATAGGACGGGATTTTTGAGTTTGGACAGTATAAGTTTGTGCATCGAATGTGAAGTTACACCCTGCACCACTCATTAACAACAAAATTGGTCTTAACAGCTGATAAATTGAAGTTCGATCTGTAGAACGTTTTCCCCTCTAGATTGAAAAATTGACAAGATATTTTGATAAAACTTGCATTGATAGATAGAATGTTAAATTTCAAAGAGATTTCATTACTATTTTGTGCAATCATGGTTTGGTTGTGACTGATAAGTTTAAAAATAAAATATTTTCGAAAAAATCTTGATTAAAAATTATTTTTTGTTTTTGAGAGCTCTTCATGTGGTAACCATTCAAGCTTTTGGCTTGCAACTTTACCAAAAGTTGTAGAATTTAACGGAGAACAAGGACATTAGAATTTATGTATATCTTTTACTGGGATATTTTTTGTCAAAATCTAAAATATTTGTAAATATCAAAAATTAATTAAATTAAACTAAATAATCAAAGTTGTATATTTTTTAACACATCCTAATAAAAGTTGGTATATGGGTTCTCCTAGTTGAATATGTTTTTAGAGAAAATATCAATAGACCACAACGAGAAGAAGCCGTATACCAAGTTCCATCAGTATACGTTCACAAATAAGTGAGATGTACAAATTTTCTATTCCGAATAAAATTAGACAACGTACTGTCTTTAGCACTTTCAATATCTCGGTAACCAATTGGCGTAGAGAAATTATCAAAATACCAATTTGTGAGTTTTTTTAAGCTGTATCCAATGGTAAAAACTAAAGTTTAAATCTTTCAAACTTTAAATTTTAATTAATTAATGTCATTTAATATTAGTTAATGTCAAACTTTAATGTTCAATTACTCGAAACCCCCATTTTTGGGGCACAAAATCCCCCCAAAAAACCCCTTTGGATTAAGTGATCTGGCTGGTTTTCAAACTTTAAGTCTGATATGCTACATTAATGGTTTGTACTAAATTTCATCAGAATCAGGAATTAGACCATTTTTACGTGAGTAATAGCTTTGACTATTAATATGGTAATAGCTAATTTCCTGTAGGAGAAATTTGCTATATGCCGTTAGAACATTCTACGATGATTGTGAAATTCCCGCACACACAATATTTGAGGAACTCTTCATTTTTGTTCATTAGACGAAAGTAAAGCCATCCATGAAAAAAAAAATCCGGACTTTAATTTTTCAAAATCTATATTTCCTGGACTATAAAGCAAAACAATAAAAATGCAAGCGCACAGCTGATTTCTAGCGTTGAACGTCGTTGGCTCCATGAGCTATATTTTTTAAGTTGAGCACTCAATGTTATTTAAATGGGTTTCATTACTTCACTGAGTGAGTTTTTGAAACTTTACTTCACTCGTGAAGTAAAGAAGTTGTAAACATCACGCTTGGGATAGGGAAGTTTAACATAGGGTTAGGTAAAGTAAGTAAACAATGCTGCAAAGTGAATCTTTTCAATTCTACGAACTAAACTGAAAAGGTTACTTCAAAAAAAGGTTTGTAGGTAAACGTATTTAATTGTATCTTTATGATATCAAGTTAAGTTTCTCAAAAGTTATCTTGTCAATAACAAAGTTAAGAGTACTACTGTTCCATAAAATATAACCGCATCCTATAGGCCTAAATCCTTTCTCTTGTTAAAAAAAGTAAGTAAACCTGATATGTAGAAAACTAAATAAGTATGCCTCCAATGCAACTCTTCGAGCTTGTAAAACACCAATGTAATTCACTATAAATTTTTTGTAGAATATACAATAAATCTATATGAATCTATGCAACAATGCATATCAGCTGATCGGCAATAAGTAAAAGCAGCGATACCAACTCAAGCTTCTTTTGTCCATTTGGGCTGCGTTTAAGAAAAATACCCTGTATGTTATTGTCCTAATTAATACTAAATGACATTATTATTAATATTACAGTACTGGATCAATACTAAAGGACAGTATTAATGGATTGATATTAAATGACAAGTTAGGTATGTATAAATAAACCTAGCTTCATCTATTTGAAACTATTTGTATTATCTATTTATGACATTTATGTCCAACGTTTGATTCCCATTTTCTTCCCCTATACATGGAGGAAGTGTTATTATTTGTAAAATTTCAGAGTTATAGATTTTTTACTTTCATTCTAGGAATCCCTGATGAGTTTGATTTGTACCTAGTTTATGAACTGATGTCTAACACAGTGTATACTCTTTAGTAAATAAAATAAACGATATCATCAATCTGACACATACTTTCTACCACTAGCTTATCAACAACCTTTACCATGTAAGGTAACCAACATCACAAAATGTGCATTAAACTTTTGAACGGCAATTTTTACAGAAATGGGGGGTTGCACTGTTTTGTTTGGAATTAACTGGACCATAACAGACGAATTTTAATCATAACCAGTTTTTTAATCCATTATTCCGCTTTTTTATGGGAAACTAACATAAGTAACAATAACTTTTGAAACGTAATTTTTACAGCAATGGAAGCTCCACAATTTTGTTCCCAATTTAAATGGGCTACAACGCACTAACTTTTTATCAAAATCGTTAGGGCCATTTTCGAGAAAATTAGATTTTTCCATTATTTTATGGTGTTTTATGGGAAAATCACTATTAAAATCGAAATTTCAAAATAATGAAAAAATGCCTAGATATATCATGGATTTTTACCTACACACAAAACTGTATCAAAATCGGGCTACATGTGTGGTCTGTAGCTCTGTACACATCCACACATACAGACAGACATCACTTCGAAAACCACTTTTTTGGGGTTCAGGGGGACCCAAAACGGATATAACCACTCAAACTCGAAAATGTTGACGAAAACAATATGCCTACTTTCTTCATATACTAAGTAGGCTATTTGGGGAGAAAATAAAAATGCTAGGCACCCATAGATAAACATAAATAACATCACCAAATGAAAAAACAACACCGAACGAACCTAACCAAAATCAATTTCCCATAATTTGTAAACACCGCTGAGTCGCACCATCACACGCTACAAAGTAATCCAAGGTATCGTGATGTAACCGATTCCAACGATGTGTCAGCGTTCCATGAACCTAGTATGGCGAAGTAACATGCTACCCAGTATCTGTTACAACAAAGGACAATGTCGTCGGTCGACAAATAGCCGTCATTACAACAGATGAAAATGTGCGAGCATTTATGGCATGGGCGGGGCCTTCCTCAACCCTAGGCTTGTAAAGCATGCGCTGTATAGGTTCGTGAACCTACCTTGACAAAAAATTATGTGAAAACAAATTTTATTTCTCATCCAAAAACCTAGAATTTTCTTAATTTCATACAAATATGAAAAAGTAGGAGTATTTTTATGGAAATCCTTATTTGAACATTTGTTTTACTTTCTCCGTCTATATTTAGTAAATGGAGAAAGTATGATTTCCTCTGTCAACATTTTCGAGTTTGCGTTTTGGGTGGGAATATACGTTACCCCCTGAACCCAAAAAGTTTTTCGAAGTGATGTCTGTGTGTGTTTGGACGTGTACAGACTACAGAGCTACAAGACTACCGTACACATGTGGTCCGATTTTGATTTAATTTGGTATGTGGGTACCAAACCCATGGTATTTCAAGGTGTTTTTGAAATTGTTTAAAATTGTCATATTTAATGGTAATTTGTCCATAACATACCATAAAATAACTAATTTTCACAAAATGGCAATTTTGGAAATTTTCCCCATAAAAGATTACCCCATAAATTCGAAAACTTTGACAAAACAATACTTTCTCCATATACTATGTGGTATAGGTGGAGAAAGTAAAGCAACACTGTCTACTGTAGGCTACACTATAATTCTATTGTTGTCCCTAGGGATGTGTGGAGCCTTCTTCTCCTCACCTGTCTGTAGACAGGCTCTCTGTGACGTTTGCTGCAGAATCACCCTGTGTCGTCTCTATGGACAAAGTGCGCTTTGAGTCTGGTGGGTACAGTGTATAATAAACCTCTTCGTTACTGTTGTAAGTTTGTCATTCAAAAGTTCTACTGGCATTTGCACTAATAAAAAAAATATATTGCGATGATCATCAAATGTGACTAATATTGATGTTGTGCTGAACAAATTTTTAACTCTGAGTGTGGTACTCCAAATCTTGGCCATTTAACCATCACTCATAATAGATGAATTAGATGAATTGAAGAAGTTTATCTAATTTTGACGAAATTTGGCATGCAAACTAGCAAGATTGGGTTGTGAAAACGGTGTTAGAATTAGAGAATTAGGGGTGTTAGAAGGTTCTAAAAAATCTGCAGCTCTTAAAACATGAACATACGAAATGCCCAATTTTCACTAAAGCCATTGTGTAAAGCTTTATAAAACAAACAATTTTGTATATTGCAGTATTGGTCCAAAATTAAAAGTTACAGAGAAAATTGCCAAAAAATGTACACTGCAGGTGTGCTGTAGCGGGGGTATTCATTACTTCTATTTTCCACAGATGCTGAGGAGGATGAAGACTATTCGCAGAGTGTTAGTGCAATTTTCCAACGCAAGGCCTCAACAAGACACAGTCGCAAGCGACGTCGCTCGTCCAGCCCCAAGTTTGTGACGGATGTGGACGACGGACAAAATAGTGGAAAGGTCCGCAATAGAAGACGATCTTCTGTCTTCACAACAAGCTCTGGAGAGTAAGAAATTAAAAGTCTTTAAACATTTTGTTTAATTAAAGCAGAAAATTTAAGTAAATTATTTTGAGAATCAATACTTGAATAGTAAGGAATTTAATTGCACTTTTTTATTACATATGTCTCACAATTCCAGCTAAAATGGTAAAACAGAATGTCATTTTGATTTCCAAAATTATCTTTTTGTCTTTGTTTTAGTATTTTATAATTCCTTAACATTTTTTGGACGTGTAAAAAAGGTGATCTTTTTATTTTCTCTTTTTACTTTTAACAGTTTAAATAATGATCTCTGGACTAGATTAATGATAATGCTGTTCTGGTATTGGCCATTAATAAAATGTGCCGCAACCACTAGGTCTTGCCTAAAGCAGTGTGAAAAAAACAACCCACGGATAGAGCCTAGAGTCCTTGGACAAAAAAGTACATTTATAACAGCTGAGTGGTTAGTTTAAAAATCGGGTCATCGGATCCCATAGTAAAGTCAGTAGCTTTTTGATGTATCAAGAGTGGGCCAAACTTTGAACCTTTGGCTGTTAAGGGTTCCACCCGCCTGCTGTTTACCATATAAAATGGTCCTACAAAAAAGAAACTCCTGGAATTATTAAAGTGTTCATAGGTTAACCGGCCATTTTTGTCACTAAATCGATTGTTTATCATTTCAAATAACCAGATATACTCTAACAGAGTTAACTGTAGTACCGCCATATCTGTGGAGGACGCGGTCCAGGAGCAGATCCTCCAGAACATCAAGCTGCACAAGGAAGTCCTCAGCAGTGTGAAGCAGCAGCCATGGAACATGAGGAGGAAACTGAGGCTCGTGAGACAGGTTGGTGCAAGTCTCAACTGGTAAGATGAAAATTCTGTTTGTTTAGGTACATGGTTGTTTGAACTTATGCTAAAGAAAATAAAAAGCTTTTACAATTTATTTCTATTATTTAAATCAGCTGTTTTGATTGTTTAACAATATAAATATGAACTGAAAATGCTTAAGCCAGTTTGCTGTGTATTAGCTTCTATAGTACGGCCGCTTAGAAAGCGACCTCCTCCAGCATTGGTTTAGCATTAGCGCGCAGGTCGTTTTCTAAGCGGCGGAACTATAGTGCTTGTTTACTGTACAATGAAAATGAAATAATAAACTTAAACCTCTAATGTTTACATTCTTACAATAGCTAGAACTTGTTTCTTTTCATTTTCATCTTAAATTAATGTTCATTAGGAAACATAATAACAATTTAACTGAGGACTGTTATTCTGTACCTGAATATTTTTGTGATGAAAAGTGGGGTTCATAACTTGTACCTAAATTAGTTTTCTGGCACTTGTTCCAGTTTTTCTGGTCCTCGGCTTTTCCTTGCAGGTGAAATTTGATGTTCCTGTGTTCAGCTTTGACTTACTCCCAACGGAAATTGCAACTTTTGGTAATTAAATATTTTGTTTGAAGGCCAAAGCATACATCAGGCGTCATGAGGGAGAGTTACAGGAGAGACTGGCGCAGAGTCGCAGCACCAGGGATATTCTGGCGCGGTTCAACATTGTCATTATCAGGGTAAGTGGTCATTTTAGATAAATACAATAACGTCTACTCCTCCTGTATCCAATTTTTATAAGGGGAAAACGTTGTTATCATGGAACCGACAGACTGCAAGTTGTATGGTTGTTGAAAATAATTAACTTGAACTTATATAAAGACTAAGGTTTTACTAAAAGGTTTTACTATTGACCGTGAGTTTCATATGTGGAAAAATAAAACAACCCCATACAATAGGAAGAAGGTATTTTTAAAACTGTTGATTAAATAATGTGTTAGACAAAGCAAATTGAAAGCATATTAGAGTCAGTTTGTATTTTCTTTACTTTTATAACTTAACTGCTTATCTTTCTCATTATTTCAATGTGCTGAATTTTACTGAGCTGTATTTTGGCTTACAATTGTTGTCAAACTGACAAAAACGTCAAAGGAGCTTGTCTACGTCATGGTGACGTGTAGGACTGATTTCTCTCGGAGCAGTCGCCTCTCTTGCCTGTCATGGGATACAGTCCCTGTTGAATTCAGCAGCTAGGAAAATACTTCTGATCCTAGTGTTGAGTTGAAAAATGCAGTTGTATTCAGCAACTAGAAAATCCTGCCTATTGCAGTTCTAGAAAAATCCCTTGGCTAGACCTAGGTTAGTGGTTGAGAGTAACTGTCACTGTCAGTGGTTCTTATGTAGTATTTCTGGCCAATGAACCACCTGCTCTTGGTCAGAAGCAAGGCAATCATTTTATTCCCTTACTCATCTTCACCTTAAATACATAAATACATACCTTCGCCATATTTTGGATCATTGGCGTTAAACTTTATCTAAATCCATGATGTAAAAGCTAAGTCTACATAAATATTGGAAAGGTACATTGCAAGTCGCATGAGTGGAAAGTGCGAGCGGAACTGGAATAGCATACATCCAGAATCAATAGAATGTTCTGAAGATTCAGTCATCAGATATGTGAGTCATAATGAAATTACTCATGGGAAACATTAGTTTTAAAACTTTATCCACCAAAAGCCTTAATTTGAAAAATTATTATGTTGGTAGCACTGGCAGCACACCAAGCGGGAGTTGGCAAACCTGTTGAACACCCTGATTCCCTGGGAGATCAGGATTAAAGAGATAGAATCACATTTTGGCTCAGTCGTTGCTTCTTACTTCACGTTCCTCCGATGGCTGTTCTGGGTGAATCTTGTCACCGCTGTGATCCTCATTGTATTTGTTGCAGTGCCCGAGGTAAAAAAAAAACTTCTCTCAACAATTTAGCAAATCACTTTGCGTAGGTGAAGGGTTTGCAATAGGAATTCCATTATTCATCTTTAGAATAGGGTTTAGCTTTAGTAACTACTGTTAAGCTAACATCTTTGACTATTGATACAACTAGACATTCCATCCCCATGCTAAAGTTGTCGCCAACTTGTTAATGAAAATAATTTTAGTTTATGTGAGCCACCGACAGATTGCACTGGTCTAAATTTCTAATTTCTATTGAATACACAAACTTTTTATTGAGTATAACTAATGTATTTCTTATTGTGAGCTATAGCAACTGCCCAGCTACTTGGTCAGCAACAAAAAGAAGGTAGAGAATAGAATTTTATACACCAGTGCATGCAGTCAATGCTTTTAGTATGGTAAGTAATCAAAGAGATAGGGAAGTGGTAAATCATAAATTAAATTAATATGATTCATAGCCCTTAATTCAAACTTCAAATTAATGGCCATTTTATTGCTATGCACTTTTTAATCACACTAAGAATACCTTTTTTGCTAATTTCGTTGTTATTTTGTCGCTCCTCCAATTTTTCCTAAGGAATCAAATGAGACTTGGTTTTTTTTTTACATGTAGGTATATTTATCATAAATGTTAAGTTTCAAGTTTGTATGTTCAACCTCTTTGTGGGACACCCTAAGCTGCTAAAATGAATCATGTACTATACAAAGAACAAAACCCAATCGATGAGTTGAAAGATATATTATTTCAATGTTTGCAGCTGGTAATGTCAAATCCTGAAAAATCAGGAATGCGCAAGAAAATGCTGGAGCAAGAAAAAGCTAATGCTACCAACCTTTTCACTCTCTGGGACTTTGATGGAGTCCTGAAGTACTCTCCTCTTTTCTACGGCTACTACTCACATCGGGATCCAGAGCCATATAGTTTAGCCAAGAAGATCAATTATTCAATGCCTCTTGCCTACTTTATAACAGAACTGGTTGTTTACATTTACAGCTTTGTAGCTATATTACGCAGGTAAGTCCTCAATTGCCTTTGATAATTCCTCTTTCCATAAAAAGCTTGATTTAGCATATATCTCCTTAATGTTTTGTTCATCTTGATTTGTTTTATATTCGTTCAATGTTTTACGTCCTTGTGCGTTTGTACATAACCATTATCAATGTTTATTTCATTACAAACACTTAAAACCAATCACACATATTTAATGCCACACAACACAGGGATTTCTATGTTAGGTTCTGTCAGATTGAATCATAGATTAGATCAATACAGTATAATATTTTCAATTCCAATCAAATTAGTGATAAAAGTCAAACTTGCAAAACTATTCGAAGAAGAAAAGTTATAAAGAAATTAATACACCTACCATAGAACTAGTCCCAAATCTATTCAAATAGTGAAGCATATTATTTGTATAACGCTGTGCCAATAGCTTTTCTACCAGTTACCTTCCATTTCTACAGAATGGCAGAGAACTCACGTCAGAGCAAGTTATCAGAGAAGGACGATGAGTGTGTTTTTACATGGAAGTTGTTCACGGGTTGGGACTACATGATTGGCAACTCCGAGACAGCTCACAACCGAACGGCTTCTATAATACTTGGCTTCAAAGAGGCACTGCTTGAGGAGGCCGAGAAGAAACGGGATGAAGGCCGAAAGTAAGTTGTGATCAATTGTCGGATCTGTAGAGACTTGAAGTTGTTATTGATTGGCGGGTCAAATTGCATGGTAAATTAACTGATCAAATAATAGAGAGATTGTAGAGACTATGTATGGACAAAAACTGCTAAAGTGTGTCCAACCAGAACCACAACCCCATTCTCTTCCATTTTAATCCTCCCCTCCATTTCATAGTCAATGTTTTACTGATGTTAAGAATTTCAAAAGCATATTTAGTAATGTTTGATCACATTTATTAATAATATTTTTGAAGAACATTGTCAAAACTTACCCAAAGAAAATATAGCCAAAACTCTTAGAGTAGAATATGAGAGTACAGGGCCGCTTTAAGGGTCAGTGGAGCCCTGGGCAAACCCAAAAGCAGCGCCCCTTTTTTTTCCTAGTGTGGGTGGGCGGTGGTTGAGGGGCACCCGGTGGGCGCCCCCAAACCTCCAGCGCCCCTGGGCATATGCCCAGTCTGCCCGTTTATAAAAGTGGGCCTGTGAGAGTAGTCCGTTTCATTGTATTTTGTGTTTTCTCAACTTGGACCCTGAAGAGTATAACTGTAGGAAAACTAAACAAAATGGGACGATAAAATAGAAAAACGTTTATAAAAAAAAGTAGCTTAGGTTTTATATAAAACTTGACTTTAATTTAAGAAAATAATAATTTGGTTATCAACTTGCAGCTGGAAAGTGACGAGTTTGCGAGTGTTTGCGCACATGAATGTTTGTTGGTTGCTGGGTTCATCGGTCTACGCTGTGATCCTAGTGGTCCAAAGATCCACAGAGGTACTTTTATCAATTTTTTTCAACAATAATAATCATATATGCTCAGATAAATCATGAACAAAAAAATAACTGGATACAACCACAAATTTTCCCAAAATTGTTGAGTAATCTAGGTTGTAGGGTCAAGAATAGATTACATCTATTCAGCAAATAAGATTATTTGGCAATTCAAGAAAAAAAAAAACATTAAAAAGTTTAATCTTTTCCGTATGCTAATCTTGAATTGCAAGCAAATTTAGGGATAACCCTAAAACTGACCACAAAAAGACAACCAGAAGATGTTCATTTGCAAGCTGACTGTACTTGGCAATAAAAGAAGAATTTGTTGTTTGATAAGATAAAAATAAGTACATCCCATGACTAGTGTTTTTTTTTTTGTTTTTTTTTTTTTTTTGTTTTAGTGAATATATAGCTTACTATTTATTTCTCAAACACATTAAGTTCTATTTTTTTTTTTTTGCCATTTTAGCGATACAGAGCGCTATTAAAGCTGGGCTTTCCTAAAAGCGGAGCCCAGAGATCACTCTTCTCTTGTCTTAGTTAATTTAATGGTGCTGTTTTACACGCAATTGTACCGCCACAAAACACTTTTCCACACTCTACTCTCCGCACTTTGCATCCAAACCCAGGAAAACCCTGTGTGAGAGTGATTCTGAAGATTACAGTAACAGATTAAATGCAAAAGATTACATCAAAACATTACACTTTTGCGTAACCTATAACTTTCGAGAACATGTAAGACTCAAACAAGGTTCACCAGAGTACTGTACTGGTGGATTGAACGAACATGTGTTTTGGAAACACAACTGTACAAATGTTTTCAAAAGTCAGCTGATGAACTTTGTTTCAGTTGGAGCTGGAGCATAATCACGGTTGGTGGCGCAAGAATGAAATCACAATTGTAGTGTCCCTCATCACCTCGCTCTTTCCAGTGTTCTTTGAAGTATTCGGTATTATTGAGCAATACCACCCAAGAAAGAAACTGAGAATGCAATTAGCAAGGTGAACTTTTAGTTAAGAAAACATGACCAAACTAGAAAACCGTTTCATTTCATTGCTTTAATCATGAAATAGGTTATTTCCTAATATTATGGATACAAAAATCCAAATTTTTACTTTCTGACATAGATAGTAAATGAGGTTTTGTTTTGTCAAAATTTTCTAGTTTGAGTTTCAGTGGAAATATCCTTTTTGGATCTCCCTTGAATAAAAAAGGTGGTTGTTGATGTGACGACTCTGTGTATGTGGATGTGGACAGAGCTACAGACTAGACATGGTCATATATTCATGAAATTTGTTTTAGTGATAGTTGTACTATTTTACTAAGAATTAAGTGAATGGACTGTTTTATGTCATAACTCAAACTCAACTGACTTTATTTACCTTTTTACAAACATAGAATAACAAATAAACATATGATAATAATTAATAGAAATTAACAGGTGTTATGAAATAAACTGTTCTCACAACATCCTCCCTTTTAAGTTTGAAAGTTCTTCAACCAGCTTGGTTTGTGTATAATTCTCTTTGGACGGTTGTATGGTTCTGTTTGATGTGTATTCGCTGACAAACTTTGTTCACTGTTTTCCTCTCTTAAATAAGGGGCAAGTTTGAGGTGGAATCGATTTCTTCTCACATTCCTCTTATCAGTTTCAACAATATATGAACGAGGGCTGTCCAGGATTTTCACAATTTTGCCATGTCTTCTAAGGTCCACAATCCAAACTGGGTCTCCTATATGAAAAGGATTGAGAGTTTGCACTTTGTGCCTTCTATCATAGTTGTGTTTGTACTTCTCACGATATGTTTCTTCTCTCCCTTTAAGATCCTTTAGATCTGGTTCTCCACTAAGCAAATGTCCTGTCTGAGGCAATGTGCTCCGTAATCGCCTGTTCATAAGGAGCTGAGAGGGACTGAACCCATTCCAGAGGGGTGTCGTTCGATAGGCTAGAAGCGCCAAATAAGGGTCTTCCACATTTTTCTTTAGAATCATTTTGGCAATTTTCACTGCCGCTTCAGCCTCTCCATTGCTTTGGGAAAATTTTGGGCTACTTGTTATATGCTTGAAGCCATAAACTTTGGAAAATGTCTTGAAATCTGAATGTTCAAGGACTTGAAATTGAGACCCACAGTCAGACCTAATTTCTTCTGGAATGCCGTGTCGACAAAAAAAGGCTTTGCATCTCATTATTACTTCTCGTGATGTTAATGACTCTAATTCAGCTATCTCAAAATATCTGGAGTAATAATCTGTCACAGTCAAAAACCAAACGCCTTCAAGTTTGAACAAATCCATCGCAAGTGTTTTCCATGGCCTGTCAGGGAATTGTGTGGGAAGCAATGGTTCATGACTGTTCCTTGAATGTTTAATACAAGTAGGGCATGATTTCACCATACTTTCAATGGCTGAAGAAATTCCTGGCCACCAGACTGACTCTTTTGCACGTAAACGACACTTGGTGATTCCAAAATGACCTTCATGTACTCTTTGAAGTGCCCAAGACTGCAGAGCTGGTGGAATTACAAGTCTTGAACCTCGTAGTATCATCTCATTATCAACACTTAGCTCATCCTTAACTGAATTATACGGTTTTAGGTCATCTCGTAATGATGTCTTAGAAGGCCAACCTTGGATAATTATTTTTTTCAGTTCACGTAAAGTCGGATCTTTATTTTGTTCCTCCAATACTTTAGCAACTATGCAGTCGTTTATATCGATGGATGACAAAACCATTTGAACAAACGCTTGAGTTTCTTCTTCTAACTCACGGTCATCAGTACCTGAAAATGGGAGAGGTGCTCTTGAAAGAGCATCAGGAACTAGAAGCTGCTTTCCAGGAATATAAGTAATTGAAAAATCATATCTCATGAGACGCAATCGAATTCTTTGAATTCTTGGAGACAATTCATCAAGATGTTTGGATTTCAAAATTTGAAGTAGTGGTTTGTAATCTGTTTGTATTGTTATTCTCTTGCCAATAATAAATTCTTGAAACTTTTCACATGCCCAAGCAACAGCTGTAGCCTCCCTCTCGATGTTTGCATAGTTTTTTTCAGAAGGAAGAAGGCTTCGGGATGCAAATGATACTGGTCGTATAGAACCATCATCTTGAACTTGAGAAAGAGTTGATCCTAGTCCTTGAAGCGAGGCATCACAGGAGATAATTGTTTCCCGATTTACATCGTAAATGGCTAGGCAAGGAGAGTTAGTCAAAATGAGTTTTATTTCATCAAATGCCTTCGCCTGCTCTGGACCCCATATCCATGGAACGTTAGCTTGAAGTAGTGAATTCATTGGGGCCAAAATCTTAGCTTTGTCAGGAATAAACTTACCAAGAAAGTTTACCATCCCATTGAACCTTTGAAGTTCTTTTACGTTTTTTGGGCAGTCCATTTTGAGAATAGCGGAAACCTTTTCCTTATCAACAGAAATTCCATCGGATGAGAGGAAATGCCCGAGGAATTTAATACTTGACTTACCAAACTCAGTTTTGTCTTTGTTAAGTGTCATTCCTACATTTTTAAGCTTTTCAAGTACTTGCCGAACAACTGTATCATGTTCTTCTTTAGTTTTTCCCCAAATCAGAATATCGTCCATATGGACTGCGACATTTGACTGGTTGTCTAAGATTTTGTTCATGCATTTCTGAAAATGTTCAGGTGCTGATGTGATTCCAAATGGAAGTTTGAGAAATTTAAAACGTCCAAAAGGGGTAAGGAAAGTAGTTAGATCCTGGGAATTTACATTTACTTGCCAAAAACCACTGTTTGCATCAAGTTTTGAAAACCATTTTGCTCCTGAGATTGAGCTGAGAGACGTTTCAATTTTTGGAATCGGATGATAAGACCGCTGGATGGATTCATTCAACTTTGTTAAGTCAACACATATGCGGACATCTCCATTAGATTTAGGCACTACTACCATTGCTGAGCACCATTCAGTAGTATGCTCAACTGGTGTGATTACATTATTTTGTACCATACTTTCTAGTTCTTTTTTCACATGACACATTAGGGGTAAAGGTACTGTCCTAGGAGTGGTTATTGCGTATGGCTTTGCGCCATCCTTAAGTGCTATTGTGTAGGGATCAGGAATGACGCCCAGACCACTAAACATTTCATGGTATTCGGTAAAAAAGTCACTGTCTACCTCTGCAACTGAATTAACAAAAGTTAAAATTTTTAAGTCCTGTATTGCTGGACGACCAAGCAAGGGTGTTATGAGTCCCTTCACTACGTATACCATGTGATTTATTTTAACATCTCTGTATTGGATATTAGCTCTAACACAACCTACAGTTTCTAATTTTGTTCTACCAGCCCCAAACAACTCAACTAGAGTCGGCTGGATCCTACTTGGATCAACTATGCCAGGGGGAATTACTGTTACATCTGCCCCTGAATCAATTTTAAATGTTTGTGGTTTTCCCTCAAATACTAAATCTAGTTTCCAGGGCTTACATTTTGACCCATCCCCAAGTGTGTCTATGAATACTTTATTATTTGAAGGTCCAAGTTCACTTACTTCATTTTCGTCAGTTACTTCCTGTGCTTCTTTAGATCTGCAGACCTTCGAAAAGTGACCAATCTTTTTGCATAGGTTACATGTTGCGCTTTTTGCTGGACACGTGCTTCTTGGATGGGACGGTTTATAACCACACCAGATGCATTGCACTGGGTATTCTTGTTTCTTTTGACGAAACCTATATCCTTGATTTTGGTTTGAACTCGGTGACGTAGTTGCTTCAATTTGAACTCTTTTTTTATCACATAAATCTGCCTTCTCTTTCTTTACGTTATCTGCATGTCTTATTACTGTAATGGCCTTGTCTAAATTCATCTCGGGATCTAGCAACAAGCGATCACTAAGTTTCTCATCATTTAAACCCAGTATTAGTACCATCAACACCATTTCATCATTAAGTGAACCCCAGTCACAGGTTCTAGCCAAGGAATGGAGACTAACTATAAACTCTTCAACTGTTTCATTAATTTTTTGTTGTCTCTTCAAAAACTTTGCTCTTTCAAAAATTAAGTTCCTCCGTGGAATAAAATGTTTGTCAAATAAATCTAAGACTTCTTCAAATGTTAGGCCTAGTGTTGATTCGGTTGCTAAATTAAAAGATGCAAAAATCTCATCAGCTTTCTCACCTAATGTGTATATAAGAGTGTTGATTTGTTTGTTCTCAGACTCTTCAGATAGCCCAGATGCTGACCGATATCTTTGAAATCGTGTTTTCCATCTTGGCCAATCTGCTGGTACAAAGGAGAAACTAGCTGGAGGTTGAATAACTGAATGAGTGTTTGATACAATGATTGACTTCTTAGTTGAATTGTTGTATTCATTTTCTCTGCTTCTTTCATTTTCATTATCTTCATAGTCAGATTGTTTCCTTCTTGGATTTCTCTTCTGAGGCATAGCTCTAAACCGCTGCCACCATGTACTATTTTACTAAGAATTAAGTGAATGGACTGTTTTATGTCATAACTCAAACTCAACTCACTTTATTTACCTTTTTACAAACATAGAATAACAAATAAACATATGATAATAATTAATAGAAATTAACAGGTGTTATGAAATAAACTGTTCTCACAACAATAGTAATCCATAGTATTTCTAAACTGTTTTTTAAATTGTTTTTAAAATCCTGATTTTAATCGTAATTTTTCCATAAATACAATAAAATAATCCAAGATATTGAAATTTGGTATGATATGGTTCTTTTGACTCAACTGGGACGGGTGGCGTCGTTCTGTAATCCAGCTACTAGGAGGTCACGAATTGTGGATATTTATAGGCATGCACTGTGGATGGGATACTCTCTGGTGTCGATTAACGGCCATACGAGTGAGTACTACGACTATCCGCAGTACTATCCTGATAATTTGACCAATTCGTATATACCAAGACAAAAATGTGGTTCGGATTCCACAATAAACTGTAGGTCCTCCCCCCCCTCCACAAACAACACAAATGAAGAAAATTTGCCTCAACATCCAGAATACACTACTTCTCTTCCGCCAATGACACCCCTGCGATCTCCAAAGTATTCAGCAGTCGTCACTCGGCGAATACAAAGCTCTGATTCATACACAGTACATCAGGTCAAATATGATTAGTTGTCATTAGCTGTATGGGCTATTAATTAAGCTGTGTCTAAGGAATATGTCGGCCTTAGTCACTAACAAGACTACAAGATCGCGCCACTCATCCTACACTCATCTCCCTTCATACTTGGCTTAAAATACCTACTTTGTATGTTCGCCATTTCATCGAAAAGTAATAAAAGTTTTAAAGTATTAAATACAATGGTACAATCCCCAGTACTGTAAAAATTATGGTTTTTGTCAGTTTAGTATTGTTGGGATACTATTTTTTTTTAGTAAGGGCCCGTATGCTCTAGTGCTCTGAATGCTGCACTGGGACCCGCACCACCCAAGGCTAGCTCTGGCCCAGTAATTATACTGACAACATTTACAGTAATATATGGCAAGACTTATTTTTTCTTGCTTTTATATATTTTTTGATTGATAAATAATTTTCTCTTCCTCCCACTTCAGGATACTGTTTCTGCAACATCCTCGTAAACATTTACATTGTTCGCATAGCACATTTCTAAGTTTTCTTCCTTCTTTCAGGATTATGGCTCTCAACCTCTTGAATATTTACACACTGATATTTGCTTCATTTTCAAAAATAAATGCAATGGTAAGTAAATGCTATTATTTTCACTACTGCAGTTGTCAAATCAAAAAATTATGAGGAATTAGTTGTCAAAGTTACTGAGTGTCTTGATGAGCTAGGGAACTGGTTTAATAAAAATGGATTGAAAATGAATCAAGATAAAACTCAATTGGTTAGATTTTTTACACCCCAGAATAGACAAAATGTAAATGCTTTCACACAGCTTTCAACTGATGAAAATGTTAAATTTGTAGGCCTGTTCATTGACAAGCATTTGGCGTGGGATAGGTGTGTTGATTATGTTTTGGGCAAACTCAACTCTGCTTGTTTCCAGATTTTATGTTTAAGGGATACAATAGACTTAAAAACTTCAGTGATGATGTATTATGCTTATTTTTACTCCATACTTCAATATGGTATTGAATTTTGGGGCTACTCAACAGATATAAATAGAATTTTCAAAGTCCAAAAAAGGTTTTTGCGAATCATAACTTTTTCACCATGGAAAGCTTCATGTAAACCAATTTATAAACAGTTAAATATAATGTCAGTTCCAAATTTGATTATTTATAAAACCTTGCAAACTGTACAATCCAACTACCCTCAATTTTGCAGCGGAAACTTTGAGCATTCGTATAATACGAGATTCAAAAATTATTTTCAGTATCCTAGACACAATCTCAAACTTGTTTAAAAAACACCTTCCTACATGGGGAAAATTTTTTTAAATAAATTAGACCCAAAATTAAAAATATTAATAAATACTAATTCTTTTAAAAGCAGCCTTGCCATTTTTTTACTAGGTAAAACTTATTACAGCATTAATGAATTTTTAATGGACAGCTCGATTCTGTAATTATTTTAATCTTTAACTTTCCATTTAATCTCCTTTTATTGTATTTTATTTCTATTCTAAGACATTGTGGATGGTTTATAATTATTAGATTAATTTTTAATTCTAGCTATTCATATTTATATTTACTTTTTAATTTTATTATTACATAATTTGACAATGTCACTTGTTTTTTAGCTATGCTACAATCAAAAAATGTTATGTGACAATAAAGAAATATTTATTTATTTTATTTATTTTATTCAACTAGTTTACAATCTCTACTGAAAAAAATTAAAGTCATAAAATTAAAAAATAACCCTAAAGCGTTATCAATATCGTGTTATGTTGATAACTATTATGTTGATTTTTATACTTAAAGTTTGATAACAGAAGTATATTTTCTTGTTTAGAGTGACTTGTTAGAGAAAATGAGAGGAAACGTGACTCGTCAAGTTCCAGAAGCACATTTTCATGAAGATGAAGACCAATTTAAGGATTATTTAACTGGGGTGTCACCATTCTGGGATCATAACCTCACAGGATCACAAGAATGGTATGAGGATTGCAGAAACATCACGATTCCTTGCTCAATGACATCCACGGTTGGAGTTCAACTAATGTTTGGTCTGTCCCTATTTACCTCAAATCTGTCTACGTTTACTACTAAATCATTTGAAGATTCTTCTAGTTCTTCACCATCTTTCTCAACAGACTTTTTCACTTCCTCTCCGATGTTCGATCGTTCCAATACTTCTGAGAAATTTCTCAGTTTCAGTGAATCTAAAGATTTAGAAGTAAACAATGTTACTTCAGGAGAGTTCGATGGGAATTTCACCCTTCCTGAATACATTGATGTAGGTTTAAGTGAGATTTATGCTGATTATAAGAACAGTTTGGATGGTAACACTAGTGAGTTTGAAAATTATATAGATCCAAGGAATGGAACCACTTTTAATTTTAGTGAAATTTCAAATGACACTTACTTTGAGACAACGACCGATATTTCAAATTTTTCGACTTTCAAAAATAGTGAGTCGACAGAAAGAGATACTCTTACCACCCCACAAGGAAGAGATGAGACACCTAGTACTATGGAAACAACATCTGAGTTTTCTACAAGTTCAACTGGATCTGCGAGTACGAACATAGAAGAACTGTGTGTTGTTGTGAAGTGTGAAACCATAGCAAAACCTTCAGAAAAGACAACAACACCGACTCAAACAACTAGCCAAAGCATGATGACTACACATACAGCAGCTACAATTGGTATGTTTGGAAAAAACTTGTTTTCTTTATTCTGTGATTCATTTCTATAAACCACTACGATACTAAGTAAATATATCATTACCTTTGTGATAGGAGAACCTTTTTTTAAATCAAGGATTCAATTAGCACAAGTTATACCAAAACATAGATATATTAGTCTGAAGCAAACTATGAACTAGTTTGTATGTGCACTGTTTTTCAGCTTCGCACAGAACTTAAAAACACATAACCATCAACATACACAATAACCGTTAAATATAGCAAAACATATGTCACATAATGAAATGTGTTCAGATTCTGGCTTAGTTGAAGCCATTGACAGGTGAAAAATATAAGATTCTTGTTCAAAATCCGTCTATTAATTGTCCCTTTGACTTCGTGGTCTGTTTGCTAATCACTATTGTTCAGTCATTTCTGCAATTCATATTTGTTTCATGATGATGTTTATACCCTACCAGGTTTAAATTAAGTCTATCAAAAGCATTTCTAATTTATGTAGCTATTTCATAAACTTGTAAGTATAAAGTTTCATAGTATGTGAATGATATTGCCTACTTTTATGTTTATGTCATGTTACTTAAATATTAATTGAGCTATTTTATATCACAACATTTGTTTTTAGGATATCTTGATTCAGGTGATCCAAACCAAAGATGGTCCAAACGTCGTCCGTATCCCAAGAAAGAGGACATGACACCTTATATAAAGTCTCTCGATGAGGAGTCTAAAAAAAAGCTTGTTCCATTATGTTGGGAGACCATGTTTGGCAGGGAAATGGTCAAACTCACTGTGATGGATTTGGTAAATAACATTTTCTTGTTAAATAAAGTAAATTTTGTTTTTACCGGATAACACTATTGACTCTGAATATTGCAAGACTTCTCATATTTTGTAAATTTAACAGTCGTTGAAATTTGTGTTTCATGTAGATTGAGTGTGCTAATTTCTGCTAAATTGTTTTCTCTTATTTCATTGTTTTACTTTTATCTTTGTTTGTAAATACCAGAAAAGACAGGTGATAATTCAAAGATATACTGTTTTTTTTTATTTGGTGAAAAGGTCATCTATTTATTAAGATAGATAGAACAAGACGTCTTTAGTTACATAGTACATGACAAATCTATAATGGAACAATTTTAACATATGTAAATTTTCATCTCAAACAAGTTTTCCTTACTTACAATAGGGTTGCATTCATTGCTAAACAAAATCTTTTCCGAAGTTCATTTTACTATTAGATGGTAATTGCCTAGGTGTTTTTGCACAACATAGGTAAATCTCTCTGAAATTTTCCTAGTAAATGTTATGAGAGTTTCTATAAACTTTTATTTTAGTGATTTTTGTTGTTGTTTCTGAATTCTTGTGTAGGCTTAGCAATAGCATCCATAACAATCATTATTCTACATACTTTCTCACACTGTTTCCAGTGGTGTGGTTGTAAGTTTTCGAGTGCAGAATGCTCACCATTGCCTTGAAAAACAGGAGACGCCTATTAATATAGGATTTTTGAAAAACCAGAATAGGAACAGGATTCCTACGCTCTTGCCTCTCTACACCACTGCCTTTTTCATAGCTTCTTGCAGATATAAATCCACATGTCAATAACAAAACAAAACTAACTAAATCAACCTAGCCACAAACTACGCAATCTTCAATCACATTTGTTTATGCAGGTCATGACTGTCATTTCCACTCTGATGGTGGACTTTTTCCGAGCGGTGTTTGTCCGTTTCATGAACAACTGTTGGTGCTGGGACTTGGAGAAGAAGTTTCCGCAGTACGGAGACTTCAAGATCGCAGAGAACATTCTCCACCTAGTCAACAACCAGGGGATGGTCTGGATGGGGATGTTTTTCTCCCCTGGGCTTCCACTCATCAATGTTATCAAATTGGCAATCATGATGTATCTCCGCTCATGGGCCGTCCTTACCTGCAACGTCCCTCATGAGGTAAAACTGTTTGGGAATGTTAAGATTTAATGTGACTATTCAATCTTGTCTTTGCCTTACTACTAGGTAGCTGAGTGCTTGTAGAAGTAGAACTGTACCTAACTGTTTAAACTATTGGTTTGATACTATTGATTGCTATATGATTTACAGGTTGTGTTTCGGGCGTCTCGCTCCAACAACTTCTACCTCGCCCTACTACTCACCATGCTGTTCCTCTGTGTTCTGCCGGTTGGGTACGCCGTGGTCTGGGTCGTACCGTCTTGGCATTGCGGTCCTTTCTCTCGATACCATCGCATCTACCACATCTTCACATCTAGTCTTAAACAGGTTACTCATCTCTATTAGTAGTGAATGCATGGGGAAAAGCTGGTGTAGTATTTAAAGCAAAGAACCTCTGTCCTGAATTTCTAGGTTCAAATCTCACTAATCACAAATGCCACTTAGCTGTCATGATGATTGCCTGGAGTTTCGGAGCCCCCTAAGCTGAAGGGCCACCTATGAAGAAATAAAGATGATAGAACTCAGGAAAGAAGAACATTCTTTGTATTGACCATAGCTCTAGATAAATGTATGCTGTGTCTAACATATAGGATTAGTTTTACAATTAAAACATTATCTTACTTACTGCTCGGCGCTACAGCTCTTGTAGAGCCCTGCCCTCCAAACATATCTGCCTCCAGCTCTCTCCAGTTTCTGCTCGCAACCTCCATATTCTTACTCCAGATTATGCAGGTCGTCCTTCAGCATCCAACCGTCTTATTCTCTGTCTGCCTCTTCTTCTCTTTCCACCTGGTCTTCCAGTGAAAATTTAGCGGCAGATGAATCTTACCTTCGTTTGGTGTACCCTACCCACCTAATTCTACCTATTAAACATACAGTACAGTAGGTGGAAATGGTAAAACTCTTAGGGTTTCTTTCCCTACCTAAATGAACTTGTGCATGAATAGTGGTATGACAAAAGTGGTTGGTAACATCTATTTATCATCAATCATTACAGGGTTTGCCGTACGACTGGCTCCACAAAGCTTTCGACTACATAGCTTCACCAAGCATCGTCATCCCTCTACTGATGTTGCTAGTGCTCATCATATACTACCTCATCTCTCTTACAAGTGCTCTCCGAGAAGCTAACAATGATCTGAAAGTAAGTTGCAACGCTTATGTTAAATTTGGCCACAGCTGCATTAACACAATTAATCACAAGATGGCAGCTCAAGCGAAACTGAGCTTACGTGTCTGACTGGTAAACCAGATCCCTGATGTGAAAACATGTTTTTACTAATTGTGATGGAAAATGTTCGCAGTAATCCCTCAAACGCCATAAGTCCAGCAACACCTAAAATGAACTTCAATCAAAGAAATGTATTGTATGTTTCAAAATCTACTAACTACAGTTCTTTTTGCTTATAAAACTGATCCGTTTGGAGATCAAAATCGAGGACAGATGGGTTCAGTTTCGGCAAACCATCTGACTGCCAAGCAAGCACTGTGCTACCCAGCTATACCACAGAGAAGTAAGGCACAGAGGAAACATTATGTATGCTCTCATGTACTACAATGCTCACGGTGGAGGAAGACCCTGTGGCCTGTGTGATAGGAATTTCCGCACAGTGCTCGCTGTTCAGGCTCTTCCTTGCTCGTCACAAATATATTTTTCCCTCCATCATAATAGTGCTGAAATTGCACGATCGTTCCATGAGCAAATTTCCTCTGTACTTTACTTCTCTGTGATATACTTAGAATAATACTGTAGAAAAATTATAGTAACACATAGCACAATAATCGAAGTCAACATGGCGGTAGTAAAGATGGAATTACGTTTTGTTTTAAATCTCACCAGATTCAGTAACAAGATATTCGTGCTACATTAGATTTTAATAAACGTCAAAGTCATAAATCTCCTTAAGTTTTCATGATAAGATACAGTAGAACCTCGATAACTAGACTCTCAAGGGGATTATTAAATAAGACTTGTTATAAAGGTTGACTTCTTATCGAGGTTTGCAACAACAACATGTGATAAGGGCTAAAATAAAATTCAAGGGGATTAGAAAATGACACTTGTTAAAAAGGGTGACTTGTTATCGAGGGTCTAGTTATTAGGGTTCCACTGTACAAAAATTCTAAGTAAAATATCGTTGTCCTTTGGTTGGGGAAAACTAAAAATACTATTGTCCTAAATAAGTTGCTCCAATGCAAATTTACATTCTAAAAACTAACAATAAAATAAAATGTATGACTCAACTTTTAAGACCTATAAAGTTTTATTGTGCAAAGTTTTATTGGCAAAGAATATTGTGATAACTTTTACAACTTTTACCAGATCCAATTGCGAAGAGAGAGAACAGAAGAGAGGAGGAAAATGTTCCAATTGGTCGACAAAAAGAGACAAGAGGCAGAAAATCCTAGTCTTAAGTGGAAGAAAGCAATGCCAAACTTTCCATATGGAAAACTGTCCATAGCTGATATTCCTATAGATCTTCTTAAAGTTGGTGCGATCAATGGAAATGCAAATTATGAATCAACAAAGAAAGGTACCGTGGGTTTTGTTTATTTTTATGTATGATTATTGTCTTAAAAGAATGTTGTGAATTATTCAATTTTATGATTGTCACAAATCCACTCTGAATTGAATATGCACAATAACTCACAACAGTCACAACAGTAAAAGAAAATGCTGCTGTGAGGTTTTGTATTTATTGAGATGTAATCAATAAATAAATTATCTTTAATTTGTGTAGCTTTTTACAAAAGAATTTTTTTTACAGATTTAATTGAAGAATTCATGAAAAAAGCAAAGAGAATGCCATCTGGGACTTCTGAAGAGGAGAATATTCTGCTTGATGCAGGAGACGGAACAGATGCTGAACAACACGACTCTCTGCCCTACGACGTCGCCAAGGACCCTAAATATGCAGGGCTCATCAAGAAAAAGGATGGTGCTGACAAGAAGATACTGAAATATGAAGAAACAAAAAGGAGGAACGGCAAGAAAAAGATAGAGAAAGAAAAGCATTCATCAAGTAAAGAAGATGGATCTGAGAACAGTGTGTGGTCAGAAATTCCAGAAATTCGCATAATCCAGACAGAGAGCAATGAACGGCTAGACATAGACAATCAGTCTGATGAGGTGAAACCTTCCAAAATCAAGGACAAATCTAGAAGTAGTTCTTCACAACAGCAAGTCAAGAAAAAGAACGAGAAAAAAGTAAAGAGTGGTCAGTCCACTAGAAATGAAACAGGAGAGAAAAGGAGTGATTCAGCCAAAAGTTCTCCAAGACATACTAAGAAGATTAACAAACAAAAGAAGAGAAGTAGTAGTAAAACAGAAGGGGAATCATCAATCGATGCAGCGGATTCCGGAAATGAAATTAGCGAAGAAACGTTACCTACAGAGAGTAATAGAAAGAATTTTGATAACAAAACAACTGAGAAGCCCAAAGTCCACAAGTTAAAGGCCATCATCACAGCATCACAAGCAATGAAGAAGAGGGAAAAATCCCAACCGAAGCAGAATCAAGATGAAAGTGAGGGAAGGACTGGGAAAGATCACAATAGAAGAACTGTAAAAAATAAAGAAGAAAGCTCTCACAAAAAATCATCCAAATCAAAATTGAAAAATGAGAGCGATGAAGACTCTGTTTTGAAATCTTCCAAAGAGAGTGGAGATGATTCTCAAGATGAAGGCGAAGAGTCAGAAAACTCAGAAAACAGTGATGTCTCTGATGATGAAAGTGAGCATAAAAGTGAAAGTGATGAAGAACTTACGCATTCAGAAAGTGATACTAAAACTGATAGTGAATCTAAAACAAGCAGCAAACACTTGAAGAAACAATCAAACAGTACAGAAACTGAAGGTAGTGATGTATCATCTCATACAGTCAAAAAGCTTGAAGTTTTGAAACAGAAGCAAGTGAGCAAAAGTGGAATGGAAGATGAGAATGATGGGGAACGTTCAAAAACACAAACCTCGAAAGAAAACAAAAGTTCTAAAAAAGCCATGGCTCGATTTAAAATAGCAAATGTTCTCTTAAAAGAGGCTAGGAGAAGAAGCAGTTCTGGTCTTGAAGAAAAGTAATATGTAATATAAAATAGAAACTGTCGGCTAGTTACTAAAATACTAATCGGTCCGGTGAAAAATTTACTTATTCGGCTGGAGAATCTAAAGATCCATAACCATACTATGGATGAAAAAATGTTTCATTCAAACAAAAACAACAAATAACTAATTAATAGTTTTAACATAGCTTTTAATACTGTAGCTTAGAATCATCTATCTAAACTCAATGTTTAGGTATATAAATGTAAAATTGTGTACCGTATTTTCTATTATTTTGATAATTAAAGTTAAAATGTAATGATGAATAAAATAAATAGCTTAGCAATTTATTAATTCACGATAAATAAGTATTTTGAAGGACCACATTATAAATTTAAAGTTTCATAATGTATTATTATTCTTATAACAGCCTAAATGTTGTAAATATTACTAAAATATATCAAATTTTATTTCCTTTTTGTAATCTTTTATTATCACTTCCATTTTTTCTCGATACATGCGAAAATATTACCAGTCTCAATATTTTATTTACCATAATAAATCTACAATATTTTCCATAAAACCATTGGTACCTAATATCTCTTTCTGATTTCGATGATTAATTTTACTGTACTCCCATAACATTGTTTGTAAACATAAAGATTTTTATGTATGTTTCCTACGACATTATAATTTTATTTGAATTACAGCAAATCATAAATATTTAAATATAAGTTATAATTTCAAAATAAGTTTTTAAATTGTTGTCTGGATGTCTAATTAATGTGGTACCTATACAAAGTTGACTAAATCTGCAAGTTTCAGGTTTGCTATCAGCTGTTGCCTTTCAGAGATAAAGGAGTGGGTGTGTTATCTTCTGATAAGAGTAGCATTTCCACACAACTCAAGAGTGTGCTTTAGTCATCTTTCGAGAATTGTTTACTGGTGTTTAGACAAAAATCTAGATTGAATTATAACAAAATAGCTACAGTGTGGTTATAATCTGCATAATACATGGTAACCATGCAGTCTCCGAGCAGTGATGTTGTTAAAGTAGCCATCCAATCCAACAACAACGCGATTTTATTTAAGTTGGCCCAAGATCAACCTTTGGAAATAGTGATCCAAGAAGTTTGTGAACAGAGTCAAGTGACTTTTGAGAAAAACAAGTTTGCCCTTCAACTCTTGTCTCAAGTAAGTGACAATGACTCGTTTACTTACATAACCGAGTTTAATCGCTACATGATCAAGAACGGACACGAGCTTAAGTTAGTATATAGCGCACCACTTTTGGCTAAAATGATCCGAGAAAAACTCGACTCTAATTCTTCAATAGAAAATTTGCACTGGGCTTTGAAAAAAGCCGCTATTTGTAGCGCTGATCCAACATTTTGCAAAGAGTTCTTCCCTCTAGGATACTCTGCTCTTAGGAAACTTTTGAACGAATCTGTTCTTACAAAGGATTTGTTCAGTAAAGCACTCCAAGTGATTCTGAACCTTATAAAGAATAATTTCTTAAAAGCCTTAGATAAGGAATTTCTTTTACAATTGAAAGACATAGTAACAAGTGATCACCATATACAAGAAAGTATAATTGAAACAGCCCTTGAAGTCTTAGAAGCAATAGTGTTAGCTAAAAATGACTCGGAGTTTTTCACTTCTCTGGTCAGTTTGGATGATATTGCTCATCACCTGTGGAGCAGGGACTCTCCTCAAACTCAGAGCAATGTTTTAGCCTTACTAAATGCAATGACTCTAAAAAGCACTAAATTGAAAAACCAAAGAATGCTGCTTCAAAAGATGAATTCAAAGCCATTGAAAGATACAATATACACAAACATAATTTCAACAAATTCTCAAGTACCTGCCTACTTATCTCATGAATTATATGTGTACCAAAGTCTTATACTTACTCTTGATAAACAACGTTACAGGAGGGTGGTAAAGAGTGATTCATTCTTGCCCGATGTAGTTCCTTACCTGAAATCAAACACTTTTGAGAAAACAGTAAAGAAAGAACTTGACGCAAACTTTTTCCCCTTGAAGACTGCAAACAGCAACGTTTCCTTAACAAAAGCAGATTATCAAGATGAAGACAATTACAGTTTAACGCCTTCTATGTCCAGCAGTGTGTTGTACGCTTCCGATGATGACGAAGAAGTTGATGACACAGTTTTTGTGCCTGAGGTCAAACGCAATGGTTCCAAAAATGATAAGTTAATTTCTCAATTGACTTTTGATTGCGTGTTCTACTTTCACACGAATCATCATGATGATTACAAAATAGCTTTGTCAGATGACGGAAACAGTTATACTCGATATTTGCAAACTTGTGAACAAATAGTGCAACTTCTTTGCACAAAGGTTCTTCGAATTGGATATATTCCGGAGAGGGACGAAACTGCTTACTGTCCACTCGTTTTTCTAACTGCATCTCCTTTCTTGGAGGAGCTCTTTTCAAAAACTGTTAACCTCATGCATAAAACCAAAAGGGAAATGAAGGCGAAAAACGCATCTGATTTGGAAAAGGTATTGTAATTTAATTTTGTAATTAAGGCAAAATATGGTTTCATAAATAAAATACTAACAATATTTTAAAACTTAACTAAGGAAATAAATCTATAAAAAAATTATGATGTGTAGGTTTTTGATTGTGATACTTTTGTTTTATGAGATATATGCTAGAGAATGGAGAAGCAGAGAGATTCTCATAGTTCTATTTCCTCTACTTATAAGTATCAAAACTTGTTTTCAAGATTATCTTTACCAACCATCTTCAAACTAAACTCCAATAATTAAGTATACTAAACTTGTAAGCTAATCAATATGTTGAACCAAAGACTAACCAACACAAGTAGACTTCCCATCCCGTTGTAAATTTTGAAGATCGTGTCTACTCTCTAGTTCATGTCTGGTGACACTAGTGGCTAGTGTCGACAAAATTTGGTTTCTCTTATTTTAGAGTTAATTTCATGATTTTTGCTTTACTGTTTGGTTATATAACTAGAGTATGAGTTGTTGTTTATGATTAGATCGTATAATTTGGTTAAACGAGATTTTGACTGAAATAACAAGAAACAAAAATTGTAATCAAAACACAACATCTACCTGTGCACCAGACAGAACTAACGATGAAATTAGCTTCAGCTGTTCCATAAGGGTGGGAAATCTACCAAGGGAGTATGTTTTATGTATAGTTGAACTTTATGAATATTTTTAAATTTAACTAACTTTTAGTTGCCTCCATCCTTGAGCTATTAGTTTATTGACCATATGATCTTAGCTTCAGGGTTCTTGTTAATCTAGAATTATATTGATTTCAATAAAATATTTCTTATTTTGTAATAAGAAGACCTGAAGATGCCACAAAAGCTGGTGAAATGTACATAGGGTGAATACAAACTACTAGCTCAAAAACACAGGTAATAAAAATATATATAATAGGCTAATAAAAATAGGTTTTTGCCCGGAAAGAAATCTTGGAAAGCTGGAAATCGTTTTTATCCTTTAGTTTTATATAGAAGTAAAAGGATTTGAAGTTTGTCCCATTTTTGCAGGTGAGCTTCTGACCTGGGACCACAAAAACCTTGAAATTTAGGGTTATTTTTTAGTTTTTACTAAAACGTCAAAAAACCGTCCAGCCTACAGAAAAACACATACTAAAGGAATTGTAGAGTATAAAATTCTGCATCCATTGAGTATATGGTGATGAATATTGAACCAATATTAAGCTATTTATAATAATTTAAATAAAGCTATTTTATTAAGAAATTATTGAACATTGCATATTTAAAATTTATATTTCTTCTAGAAAATGGATTCCAAGTACATTATTATTTACAAAGTAATTAATACGAATTACAAATACCCTCGCCGCAGCAAACCTGCAAACTAAGTGACTTTCCATTTACCTGGCTGGATTTATACTAAAATATTCCCTAAAAATTGTCAGATTTATTTCCTATTTAATTAACATTAATTTTAGTGACTACTTAGGTTTGCTGCTACAGGGAAGATATTGAGATGTGTTTTTTATTGCAATGTCGATAGCTTAGTATTAAATAAACAAAGTTTTCAAATTTGGTTTAAATATATCCATAAACATGCAAAATACAACAATTTATTTATTCTCCATAAGAATAACATGGGAATTTAAATTTACAATTTTTTTTAACTATCCCTGTAACCGTTGGGCATACAACAACGCTTCAATATACAAATAAATTATTTATTTGTTTAAGCTCTACAAAATGGTTTGGAGAGAAATTATGAAATTTTGTGCTCTTGGGGCCAAAAATGGGAAAATCTATTTTTACCCCATAAAACCCCCGCTCCCATAGTACGATTATGATGGTTCGTGAACTCATTAGGATAAATGTAGGTTTACACGTTTGTACCAAATTTCATCAAAATCGGATCATTGAACATTGGATATTTAACATTTATATTACTTCTAGAAAATGGATTCCAAGTACATTATTATTTACAAAGTAATTAATACGAATTACAAAAAACTGTTTAGATTTATTTGCCTCTTTTGTCGTGAATCATGAATTGCAGGTCTAACTTCCTCCTCCTCTGTGCGCGCTCATAGCTTATTTTTGGTTTTTCTTTCCCTGGTGGGTTGGTGCAAGAAACGCCTTTAGAGTGTTGTATATATGACTATGTACTTCCTACAAGTGCAACCACTTTTACACCCTTTAGCACACTTACATGAGATAGCGTTAAGAGGATCTGGTGGTGCAGCTTCAACATTTGTTGGTTTTGGAAGTATACCATGCTTAGATAACTTCCAGTCCCAATCAGTACTCAGTAGGCTTTACCTTCCGCGTGGTTGAATTGAGTCTTCATTGGTTTCTCCATAGGATTCCGCCGAAGGAGTAAATACATTGCAGCCAGTGTCAAGTTTGATGAAACAATGTCCCTCACCTTGCCATAAGAACACTTTCTTGCAAATGAAGGAAATAAACGCAATCTCATAGCTATAAAAATCTCAAAGATTGAAGCAAGAAAACTGTGAAGCAAGCTGCCGAGGATGCAGATACTACTATCGTCATGCAAGCCATCTAACTAGCTCAGCAGTCAGAACGTGTTATAATCCTGGGGGAAGATATTGACCTCCGTAAGCTCCTAACTGCAATTGTTCCCAAATCAGCCACTATATACCTCTTGAAACCCGGGGAAAGGGAAGCCCAGCAATACGTTTTATTCCCCAGTGAAATTCAAATATTCTTCGACTTTTAAAAGCAATATCCTGTTTCTACGTGCATTTGGTGGCTGAAATTGCTTACTGATATTGGCTGGAAGTCATCTAAGCATGGGATACTTCCAAATCCCAACAAATGTTGAAGCTGCACCACCAGATCTTCTTAACAATATCTCATGTAAGTGTGCAAAAGGGTGTAATAGTGGTTGCACTTATCGGAAGAACGGAGTCATGTACGAGGCATTTTTTTAAAGTTCTCAGTTCCAGCGCTGCGATTGGCATTTTGTAGAGCTTAAAAAAATAAATTATTTATTTGTATATTGAAGCGTTGTTGTATGCCCAACGATTACGGGGATAATTTAAAAAATTTTAAATTTAAATTTCCATGTTATTCTTATGGAGAATAAATAAACTGTCGAAGTTTGCTTGTTTATGGATATATTTAAACAAAATTAGGACATTTTGTTTATTTAATACTAAGCTATCTACATTGCAATAAAAAACACATCTCAATATCTTCCCTGTAGCAGCAAACCTAAGGACTCACTAAAATTAATGTTAATTAAATAGGAAATAAATCTTACAATTTTTAGGGAGTATTTTAGTATAAATCCAGCCAGGTAAATGGAAAATCATTTAGTCTGCAGGTTTGCTGCGGGGAGGGTATTTGTAATTTGTATTAATTACTTTGTAAATAATAATGTACTTGGAATCCATTTTCTAGAAGAAATGTAAATGTTAAATATGCAATGTTCAATAATTTCTTAATAAAATAACTTTATTTAAATTATTATAAATAGCTTAATATTGGTTCAATATTCATCACCATATACTCAATGGATGCGGAATTTTATGCTCTACAATTCCTTTATTATGTGTTTTTCTATAGGCTGGACGGTTCTTTGACGTTTTAGTAAAAACTATAAAATAACCCTATAAAACTTCAATGTTTTGTGGGCCCAGGTCAGAAAGCTCACCTGGAAAAATGCACAGAAAACGTACCACTATAACCCAGAATGCCAACCGCATGGTAAAAAGCATTAAGCGGTTTGAGAGAGCTTTGCCTGTCAATCCATAGACAGCGCCACCAGCGTTGCCATGCAATAGCATAGCAACGCTGGTGGTGCTGCCTACGGATTGACAGGCAAAGCTCTCTCAAACCGCTTAATGCTTTTTACCATGCGGTTGGCATTCTGGGTTATAGTAGTACGTTTTCTGTGAAAAATGGGACAAACTTCAAATCCTTTTACATCTATACAAAACAAAAGGTTTAAAACGATTTCCAGCTTTCTGAGAATTATTTCCAGGCACAGCCAATTTTTTAACTAATTTTACTGGCCTATAAATATAATTGGAGTTCTTAAAAACATTAATACAAAAATACTTTTGTTAAATATTACTACTATATTGGGCTTGGTAATGTTTTTAACTAGTACAAACCATATATTTTTTAACATTTAATTAAACATTACCTTAAAGTAGGTACACCAGAATAAGGCAAGCTGGCATTCCTTAGTGCTGGCATTTTCAATTATAAAATTGTACAAACTATAAACTGCACTGAAATATTTAGTGACACATTTTATTGTTCGACATACTTTTAGTACACAGTAAAATATTTATTGTCGATTAAAACTTGAAGAGTGATTTGTTTATCTTCTTTCCTTTAGATTTACATTTACTACTGGTATGTGGTAAATGTATCGAGTCAATTATAAATTCAAAATCAGGTTTATACTTATTCACTCAAGGTATTTCAAGTTCTTCAAAGGCAACTCTTGAAAGCGCTGGAGACCCAACCTGTCACCTTCGATCAGTTAGATTCTGTTTTGTCAACGCTGTCTTATTGGGCAGTGAGGAATCAGTGGCAAGAAGAGCAGGTTGAGAAAGAACGCAACACTCTAGCAAACTCTCCCGCAGTGAGGCAGCTGAAGGCATCACTGGTGGGCGAGACTAAGGAAATCATCAAGAAACAAAGGTTACAGTTTGTAAAGACTGGGTCAGAGTTTCCAGTATGGAATGCTCAGAGAAATCAGGTAATTGGCAATCACTATACAGTACAACCCCAATTAACCGAACTCGGGATAACCGAAACCCGAGTTAAAAGAAATAATACAGTTCATACAATACTTCATAAAATAACAGGGATAAAATATGCTTTAACTTCAGTGGTTTAATTAAAGTATTTTCTACATTTTTACATTTTTGTAGCTGAAATGAAACACTGTATTACGTAGACATTGTTTTAATAGTATATTACCGGTACGTTACTAGTCCTGAAAATAAGTTTTTACCGGATGAGAGTATGGTCTTTCCCGAGCGAGACAAAGTCGGGTACGGGATTACCATACGAGTCCGGTAAACACATTTTGGACGAGTTACGTACAATATTTTACGCCATACTTCTAAATCTGTACAAATCCTTCTATATTACCACCAACTAAAGGACTAAAAATCACTAGTCATAACCTCTAAGAGAGGTTATGTTTTTGTTTATAACTACTCATTGCCACCCAAATACAGTATAATCAGCTGATTGGTGTACGGTAAAACTCATTACTCATTACAGTAAAGTAGTACGCAATGAAACCCCATTTGATTAAGCTGGTGGCAAACAGCTGTTTTCTGGACTAAATCCTTGTGTGGGAAGTTCGTCAAAATAGTGTAGTGTGGCGTAAACTCATTTTTCCTACACACCCTGGTAATACATAGGCTATTTTTTAGCATATGACGGGTTAACCGAAATATTGGTTATCCAAAACGGCTCTCCCCCCTTTATTTCGGTCAACCGCGGGGTTCTACTGTAAAACTGATTATTACATGAAGTAAGTTGGCAGGCAAGTTACCTACCCTCAAGTAACTTGAAATACACACTAAAGGCAATAAACCTGCCTGCCTATACTGGCCTTGTGAAAACGCAACTTTTATTTATTTTAGGTATAAATAAGCACAAGTATTAGGTTTTCTTTTACTAGAGAAGATTTATTGGATTTAGAGCCTTTATTAGCTCTCATATTTGCGTTTTTTCAACTTGACATATTTCTTTCTGTAAACATAATTTGCGAAGTGTAGGTTAATGTGAATAATACTGTGGAACTGTGTGGATAATAATGTGACTTTTTCAAGTACACTCAAGTAGGCTATGCACAGTTTGAAGCCGACAAAAACACACTGTTGTGGATACACAACCCAAAAAAGTATTTTGGCCTTGGGGATTCACAGAGTGACTTCTCAAAAATAAAATTATATTCACAAAACACTTTTTGCAATAAGCAATAGACTAACATATACACTCCATTGATGAAGAATCTGAAGCTTCTTATTCTCCAATCGTCTCACATTTTCTGAATCAAGCTTACGTTCTAAACCGATTGGGAGATTACTCATTATGTAAAGTTCAGTTATAGTTATAAACATTTTAGTACCACAGTAAAGCTAACGTTTTGTTTAGAGAGTGAGAAACAAGACATGGTTTGCGTCCCTCACTACAAACGAGAAGGCCATCCAGTATTACGAGGTCGAAGGAGAAGTTAATCAGCTGATGATGGAAGATGTTAAATCTATCGTAACAGGCAGAAGATGTCCCCACATCAAACTATCAAAGTAGGTTTTGTCTTTGACAGAGATTTACTATCTTGAAGTAGACCAGTAAATTCTGCGGCTTGATATATCTTTGACTATAGATTATATTTTCTACTAAAGGAATTAGAACTTTTTTTAAAGTTTGATGGTAAATTTAAAGGGGGTAGCAAAATCAATTTGCTACCCAATTTTTGTACTGCAAATTTAAACTAATTTGATATTTCAGATCAAGAGTAACAAGTGGAGAACTAGCGTTTTCACTCATAACCGAAGAATCTTCTCTAGATTTTATAGCTCCAACTCAAGAAGTCTACGACCATTGGACTGATGCTATTAACAGTTTGTTAGGTAAGACTATGATTATTAAGGTAAAAATATCGATGGTTCAAACTGACTCAAACATTTTTTGTTCAGTTAATTTTGACATTGGATACAAAACAATGCAGGATAGTCAATAAGTACCAGCAACCAGTAGGTTATGACATTTAAATTTAAAAAAAATTGACAGCCATCAAATTTTAAGTCATATTTCATATCAACAGGGCCGTTTTGTAGTAAATCGGCCCGAGCTCACTGCTTTAGAGGCTTTAGAGAGCTTACCAGGCCAGGGGCGCAAGAGGTTTTAGGTTTGTTGGGATGCAACAAAGAGAAAATTTCTCCTGCAGGGAAGGGGGAGGGGGCAAATATCTCTTGGGCCACATCTAGCACATAGAAAGAAATAAAAATATTTCACTGTGCGGTTAATATTTCAAAATCACTTAATATGGTAAATATACTAATTTTTTTCCTTATTTATTTTTTTCTTTTACTTAAATTTTTGTCAAATGTTAAATTATTTTGTTATCCAACTTATTCTATCAGTTTAAGTGTCTTTGAAGCTATTATAAAGATACAAAAATGTCTCTTAATTTTGACCCATTGACGCATATCACCATAGGCATATATTTTGAGTTTGGCACATTCTTTATTGGACACTCTGAGTAACTACAGCTACAGCACATGCCTTCCAGGTGGTTTTAGCCGTCCTCCTTCCAATAGTCAATTAGTACCACTGATGTCTAACATTACGGTTATTGCATCTTCTCATTGTTCTATAGGTGCTTCCTAATAAAAATATTTTTTCTTTTTTAGGGAATGAAATGAAGAGTATTGGCATGAAGAGAGACTTAAACTGTTTGATAGATATGGAACTTCGGCTGCGTTTGTTGAACCTGGATGGTATTGACATACCGGACGAAGCTCCCCCCATCCCCCTCGACCCTCCCAGCTACGACTTTTGCAATCCATGATTTATACATTCTAAAACAGTCATCGATTATAAGAGTTGTGCTTCATTTTGTCAAACAAAGTTTAAAACATTTCTTATAAAAACTAACGACATTTTTTTATCCTATTTTGCAAAACTAAATCATTTCCAGGGAATACTCATGGAAGATATAGGAAACATTTCCAGCTTGGATGTAAAGGATAAAAGTCAAAATTGACTCCAAAATGATAACTTATTTAGTCTGATCATATTTTATTTAGGAAACCTTTGCACTGTATGTTTCACGTCGACGTCACCAAAAAATACCTCAATCTTACACTACAGTATTGTGATAACCTGGAAAAATTGCCTGACAATTACATGAAATTTTCACAAATAAAGCAAGTTAATGCTGATATTTCAAAAACCTACTAGCCGAAACTTATAACTTATAAACTTAATACACCAAATTAATAGCCTGACACATTAACAAGCAATGAAATATCTCTTCAAGGGGTTACTAATGCAACTAACTCTTCTAACTTCTATTTATCCAGATTATTCTAATGAATTAGTTTATAATTTAAAATTCCATTTCCGTATATTTACTCTCACCGCTTACACATGATAAAGGTAGTTGACAAACTTATGGGAGAAAGTATGTGTCAGAATGCTGATACCGTTTATTTTCGATTTATAATATCATATATTGTATTACATAAAATTTTAACCATCCTATACAATTTACTTATTTAACAACTCTTAAGGTTCATAAACCATATTCATATATTGATTTGGAGAAAGTGCATGCAGGGTTATTTAATCTTTGTACATTTATAACTATAAAGGGGTTCGAGTCTTTAGCACAGAGAAGAAGCAGTAATTACTCTTGAGGAAACACAAATGGGACAAACACAGTGTGCTTTCAGCTCCAGTTGTGCCAGAAATACCTACTTATGGGGAGCAAGGAAGCGCCCAAACAGTGAGCACTGTGTGGAAATTCCTATCACACAGGGCACAGGTTCTTCCTCCACTGTGAGGATTGTAATAATTATGGTTGTCAGAGGGGATGTGGGACTAACCCTAGACACCAGCTACTATAGTGCTAGACACTACTTAAGTGTACCATGGAGTGTATCCTCTGTTCCAACTTATATGTGGTCTTTGGTCTTAGATAAAACTATTAGTTATGTTTTGCACTTAGATGCCTAGATGTTACACCATACCGTTGACAATATGGATACAGAAGTAAACATCCCAACTATATGGACCAGCGTCACCAATTTTTCACTAAAAAAGAATTTAGTCGTTTGAGTCAGTCACAGAATGTGATAGTGTCTAAAATTAAATTCTCTACCTTATTTTTTCTTGCTGACATAGTTGGTGGGTCATAAAAGTTGCTATAGCTCACAAGTCGTTCCATCAGCTTAACTTGGTAAAAAACATCATGTATTTGACTGACAGAAATTAGTTATATAGATCAGCGCAATCTGTCAGTGGCTCACATCAAATACGAGAAATTTGACTAAAAACACTGGCGACAACTTTAACATGGGTGATGGAATGTCTAGTTGTATCAATAGTCAAAGATGTTACTACTGAAGTACTGATAGATGATGAAATGAGGAATGACAGAGTGGTCATGTCGCTGTGGCATGGATTATAAACCACATACCGTACTCAATGATTGTCTTTTGATGGCTCTTCACAAATGGCACAGACAAGCATAAGGAATCCTTTCGTCTATCCGAGTGGGGTTGTTCAGCCTACATATTGAGAGAAAAACTGGATTCAAGAGCAATGTATTTAAGAGCATAGGATTTAGCTTTTTTAAGTGAGACGATTTTTAACATTTGATTTTTAGACAAATTATTAGCAAGTGTCAAGGGCTGAAAGAGGGGCATGAATTAGGTACCCTCCATCTCCCTGATAGGTGGCTGGATATGCCATAACCATACAATAAACAAAAACTCTTGACTTATAAAATTTTAATTTTAACTATAGCTTACTGGGCGTGGATATTTAGGTTTTAAATTAATTATTTTACAATATTACAATATAATTATTTAAACAACGATTTTATAAAATACAGTAACTATAAATTTGACTAGTGTAACATATTTTGTAATTTTTGAAATATGTGAAGGGGATAGCTCACTAACTTGTTAAGTACTCTACAAAGGAAATAATAAACCAAAATCAATGGATTTTCTAGAAAGCTACATGACATTTAGTTAAGTCTACTGGAAACGGAAAGCAAACAAGATAAGAAGAAGAAGAAGAAGATACTGTATCGTCTGTTGGTGTCGTTATAATCAGATAACAATCAGCTATTAACAAAACGATCAGCTGTTGCTTAAAAAAAATAGATTGAGATTATTGTTGTGTTTTATGAATGTGATTGTGAACACTGAACAGGGATTCATCTTAGGATTTCTTCTTCTTCCGGTCCGGTTCTTCTTGATCTTGGTTTGGATTTGTTGATTGGAATAGGCCTAGAACTAGGAAGTTGGAATTCTGACTTTGACCCAACCCAGAGAATGACAACATAACCTCTTTTCTTAACCTTACAACACTCAGTGATGACTGCAGTTTGTTAATTTACTGGAGTGGAGATAGGTCTAGGCCTAAGTTAGGCAATTGGAAGTAAACTTAATCATCTCGGATTTCACTTTGTTCAGTGAAAATGTCTGGTGTTATTTTTAAAAGTGTTACATGTTCATTATGTTTACTAAATACCTTAACTTCATCTTTACCAATGGGATTAAGGTATGTAAATTATTGCTGTTCTATGGTTTAGTTTTCAGAATTTTAGGTGCATGAAACAATTTATAAGTAGGCTATAACTTAGGCTAGCACCTAAGTTAAGCTAATTCTTTCAATTATGTAAGCTTACTGTACCCGTTAACAACTGGCCTATCCTGCCTAACTTATCTTACTTCCTTCCCTTGAGTGATATAATGTAAGAGGGATCAACTAAGTTAGATAAGGTCCACTTTAGGGGTACACTTCCATATCTATTGGCACAAACATTGGTGTGAACCTGGCAATAACTCAGCAATAAGTAGTGCGAGTGCCTTAAAAAATCTATTGCTGTCCGTTTTGCGGGAAAATACGGCCGTGAACCATATTACAGATAATGCCAACAGATAGAGGACACTTAAACGGACACGACAGTATCAATATCATGTGCCCAGGGAGTAATTTAGGGGGGTAAAGCCAGCATTAAGTAATGTAGTGTAGGCGGGCCTGATAAAATCTATTGCTGGCCGTTTGCAGGAAAATACGGCCGCGAACCACATTAATGCCAACAGATAGAGGACACTTTAACGGACACAACAGTATCAATATCATGTACCTAGGGAGTAATTTAGGGGGTGTAAAGTCAGCATTAAGAAGTAGGCGGGCCTGATAAAATCTATTGCTGGCCGAAAAATACGGCCGCGAACCATATTACAGATAATGCCAACAGATAGAGGACACTTTAACGGACACGACAGTATCAATATCATGCACCTGGGGACTTAGTTAAGGCGGGTAAATGCAGCAATAAGTAGTGTGCGCGCCTGTAGAGAGCACTTTCCGTAAACAGCCAGCAATAGGTTTTTGAAGGTGTGTGCACTTCTTATTGCTGACTTTACCTGAACTTACACCCCAGGTACATGATATTGATACTGTCGTGTCCGTTAATGTGTCCTCTATTAGGTGACAATATCGGTAATAACCTACGCGGCCGTATTTTTCCGCAAAATGGCCAGCAATAGATTTTATAAGGTGCGCGCACTACTTATTGCTGAGTTATTGCCAGATTCACACAAGTGGAATGATCAATTAACTTAAATTGTGTTAGCCAATTGTTCGTTTTCATTAAAACAACGCTCAGTTCAGACTTTTGATATGTTGGTACCCTATTTTTATTTCTAGAATATACTCTGGGATTCAAATTGTTTTTTCGGATTTTCCTCATTTCTACGAATTTATCTTTAGGCTAATTTAATTTCGGCAAACAACTAGCCTTAGCCTACTGTAGGTAATCTTTTAGATATTTTATGTCAAAAATATTTTCTTATATGTAGGTACCATAATATGGAAATTGATATGTTTTATTTTCATTTCAAAGGTTGTTCTTTTTATACACATAATTTTATGTTATTTTAGCAATTGCAATAAAGATTCAAACAGATTAGAAAGGTTGTTGGCCTGAATATAGTTTTCTGTTGTATAACGTCCATTAGCCTAGTTTGATTGTTGATTAAGATTAATGATATAGCCTAGCTTGGATCAAAGAATCGGTCTTGTGAGATCAAAGCCTTAGAAAAATCTAACTTTGAACAAGTTGTGTAAAAGGGAAAAAATTAACAAATTTGTATTTTTTTTACTTGAAAATAAAACTGTTTTTTCTCGTTAAAAAATTAATGGTCAATATAGCCTAACTTAGTAAATGAGGAGGGAGATTTCAAGTAAGTTGTATCTTCAGGGCTTTTCTTATGTGTTAGCTTCCACGTGTAACTGCTAACAAGTTTGTTGAGTATATAGCCATATACTCATTTTGAAAAGCTTTTTCTTACAACCGTTTTTTAAGTAGCCTAGCCATTTCAATTCAGTTCTTAAAATTGAAAAGTTTTACATAACAGCATTGTTTAGTTACATAACAGCATAGTTCTACTTAAAAACACAGGTAACGGACCAATGAGGTTTAAAATTGTAATGCTTCGAACTTCAACTAATCAGCTGTTTTTCAATTTAATTGTTAACGATTGGTGCAATTAGTGGTTGGTACAATGAGTCGTTGCATCATTGTCAGTGGCAACACCAACAACTAAATTACTACATAACAAAAAAACTACTAAGCTACATACATTGGTGTGAACCTAAGCTGGCCGTTAAGATAAGAAGATAACTATAACACTTAAATAATCGATAAAATCAAGGCAATCATTAACATGGCAGATTCATTAGTTTTTAAATACATTTTAGTTCTGTATTGTATGACTTATTTCGACTATATAGATACATTTTTTTTGTATGTCAATAACGAAAACATAACCTCTCTTAGAAGTTTTGAGTAGTGATTAGGCCTATTAGTAATTAAAAACCGGGGTCATAGGTGTACGTACGCAACTCGCGTAAATAGTGTTAACGACATTCGTAGAAGTTTTTAAGGCACTCTCCAAGGCTCGTACCTTAAACTTTCTACTCCTGTCGTTAACACTATCTTTATGCGATCGTTGCGTAAACAATAAATTGTCATTAATTCTCAATAAATTGTTTGTCAGCATTAAATTTTAGAATCAGTATTTATTAATTATTTTAAAAAACTGTAATCCTTATTTAAGTATACACCACTTAGACCTACGGTTGACAAATCTCATTTAGGTCGATAAAAATGGCTACATTAAGAATCTGTTACGTTTAAAACGTTATAAACCATGAGAAAAATTTTATAAGGTGTTTAAGGTTTTAGATATTTTTTATTGCAAATTAAACTGGTTTTCAGCTCTCTCAAAAGTCCTCTGAGGAAAATAAACACTACAATGAAAGCAATACAAATCCACTCGTTTGGCGGACCTTCAGTACTCAAAGTAGAGACAAATGTTCCTACTCCGATACCAACAGAAGGGCAGGTGTGTAAACAATTAGGTAACCTAATCACTAAGAAAATGTCTTTACTGGTTAATATTCAACAAGATTCATAATACCCCCGCCGCAGCAAACCTGCAGACTAAGCGAATTTCCATTGACCTGATTGGATTTACACTAAAATGCCTCCATAAAAATAGCACATTTATTTCCTATTTAAATAGAATTAGTTTAACAAGTACCTTAGGTTTGCTGCAACAGGGAGGGTAAAAAAGATTTTTTTATAAAATGATAATAGTTTAGTAAGAAATAAAAGTATTTTCCAAAATCGATCAAAATATGTTCATAAACAAGCAAACTGCAACAGTCGACTTATTCTCCATAAGAATAACATGGGAATTTTAAAATTACAATTTTTTTGAATTTTCTGCGTAACAATTAGGCGCATAATAACGCTTCAATATACTAAATTATTTGTTTTTTTAAGCTCTACAAAATGGTTTAAAAAGAAATTGTGAAATTTTGTGTTTTTAGGGGCAAAAATGGGAAAAACCTATTTTTACCCCATAAAACCCCCCATAAACCCCCGTTCCCATAGTCCGATCATGCTGGTTCGCGAACTCATTCAAGTTTATCCCGCCTTACACCTTCAAACCAAATTTTATCAAAATCGGACAAAAATTACTCAAGTTATCGTGCGGATGGACACACACATATATATATATATATATATATATATATATCTCTATATATAGATATATAAAAATTTGAACGAATGGTGTTTTTGGCCTCTGGGGACATCAAAATGAAAAAGTAAATCGGTCCCGGGCTTAGTTCTTACCATGAGACCTACGGTAATAGCTACTTCCCTATAGGGAAATTCGCTAAAACCAGAAATCTTCCACTGTTTGTATGATTCTGTCAAAGTTGGTATAAAACAAAGATCTATGAGGTTACACAATTAAGACTAAAGAGTGATTTACCTACTTCAAACATGTTTCAAACATCAAAAAAGTATCCTTACAATCCATTTTCATAAACTGTTTAGTCTATCTTTTATTTACAATCTGACTGAGGTTAAACATTCAACTCAAGGATCAGCTGTTGGATTAAAATTCATATTCAAACCTGTATAAAGAAAGTTTGTCATTAACTTAAAAATGAATTCTCGAATCGTTGAAAAACAATTGAGGCAAAGCCCTTAACCCTCCAAGTGTTAAGTGTCGCGTAATCGACGCACAACACACCCGCCGTGGTGTCATGCGTTGTTTTTGCGACACACAAACATCGTTTACGGCGAAGGCTCTGGGACTGACTGAATCAGATTGAACTGGATCGAGATTGGTATCGTTGTTTTCGGCAGATTCTAAGCTTTCTCCTGATGTCTGTTTCTAGAAGCTTTTCATTTTAGTTCCGAAAATATTGTAGCAGACAGCTGACGTGCGTATTTGTAAACAACTTGGTTAACATCGCACCGATGACTGATGTGTTTTATTACGTTTATCATTGTTTTAGTGTTAAAAATAAAAAGTAGTGATATACCTGGCACATTATAAGAAGATTTAAGTGATTTTGAAGGGCTGGTTAATGATCCTGAAGAAGTAGGTGTAGTGATATTGATGTAAATTATCGGCCAGATTCCTAGCTATGGTTAGGCTATGCATTCTTAACTAACGCTAAATGTACAAAATCTGTTTTTCACCCATAACTTATTTATTTGAAAATTTACTTCCTTATATTATTATATTTTTGTAATCCTTATAAAATTTAAAACAAAGTGGCTATTTTAAAATATTTGTAGACTTATAAATTATAAAAATTTATTGAGCGCAAACATACATTTTTTTCATTTATTTTATAATTTTTTAGAAATGTTAGCCCCACAAAAATTGTTGAAAATTTTTTTGTAATGTTTTATATATTACATTGAATCCCATAATTTCCCAAACAAAATGATATATAAAACAGTATACTTTACATTGTTTTTAAGTTTCTAAGATACATTTTAGTAAAACCCTGCAATTGCGCAATAAATAGGCGGACATTAATACCATTACTATGGACACTTGGAGGGTTGCCGCTGATCCTAGGCAAAGAAGTCGCTGGCGATGTGGTCACGATAACAGACACAGGCGATGGAAATTGCAATCAATACAAGGTACTGTGTCACTTTCTGGAAATTAGCGAAAAAGTCACTTAGAACCCCAATACTACGGTATCCATGAACAATAAAATGATTTAGATTCTATGTCAACTGGTGTGCTGGATCATAAGCTTTTTTTAAAAACAACACATCAATCGTGAAAATCGGTCAGGTAGGACAGCTGAAAAAAGATGTAACTTAATAGAGAAAACCCTTACTTTATTAAGTACCTACTAGCAGAGTACCGTACCCGTCCTTTGTGCGGGGTTGGCGTATAAGTATAAAATGCTTATTTGCAGTTATACTCGTGCTTTGCGTTTAGGTTCAAATGCGTGTTGTCATAAATGTAAAAAAAAATTAATAGTGCTGCTCCCTGTTGGTTAACCTTATAACTTTTTAATGCTATAGAACCAACTTGTGTAGTTGAAACAGCTGACAAAATTCTTTCATTTCTTTCATCACACTGAGTTAAATATGAATACTATAAGGTTAACATGGGAAACTCCAGAGCCTCTGGGGCGGAGGCCCGTTTTTGAGATAAGAATGCGTCTATATGTTAATTGGGAATGTGTGTTGGCTATGTATCATCACACCAAATTTCAGTCCAATCCGACCAGCATTTTTCGCATTTACTTGTCACAAACATCCATCCATCCATCCATACAACCAAACTTTCTCACTTATAATATTAGTAGGATTTAGATTACCTTACACTAATTTAATGTAAATTTACAGGTGTTAGTCAAAGTCCACGCAGCTGGTATTAACCCTGTAGACGCCTATCTGAGAGAACGAGCATTTTCCTCCAGTCCAAAGTTGCCGCTGATCCTAGGCAAGGAAGTCGCTGGCGATGTGGTCACGATAACAGACACAGGCGATGGAAATTGCAATCAATACAAGGTACTGTGTCACTTTCTGGAAATTAGCGAAAAAGTCACTTAGAACCCCAATACTACGGTATCCATGAACAAAAAGTGTCCATTTAGATTCAATGTCAACTTCAGTATTTTCCTAATGAATCATTTAAGTTATAAACATTAGGCTAGTCAAATTTTACCACCTAACTTCTGGGGGAATAAAAATGTGGTTCCTTTCAACTGGTGAGTCTATCTTAGGCTAATATGATTGCAGAAGTTGAAATTAGTTGTTGTAAGCCAGGTGACCGGGTAATCTGCTGTCTGCCGCATGATCGAGGCTATGCGGAGTATGCAGTATGTGATGTGGACCACACGTTGAGGCTACCGTCCCACATGAGCTATGCGGAGGGAGCGGCTATCTATGTGGCGTACTTCACAGCTTATAGAGGGCTGGTGACCAAGTAAGGATGTTTGTTGATGGTATGCTCATAGATGCTCACTTAGTAATCAGAAGGTTGTAAATTCGATCCTGAGAATAAGCAATTTTTTTATGGGTAGAAACTTAACCCACCTATCCTTGATCATTAAGTGTTTAGTAAATGTACTTTGCTAACAAACCAGCTGATCTTTGTAACAAAGATCTTTTATTTGTTCAACACTCGAATTCTTCTCTCACCTTTTCCCTAGTACATGCAATCTGGTGTCATGGTGTTGTATGATCTAATCTTTCTAAGTCTATTTAGGCCTCTGGGTATCTCCCACAAATACTCATTCAATCGTCCATTCCAAGAGGCAGAAACTGAAAAAGTACATTTTTGCACTTCTGAGGATTGAACTTTAACAAAATATTTTAGTTAGTTTCAGAAATACAAGTTTACCATTTGAAAACCTAACAATCTGGTTTACAATTATTAAATTTTTATCAGCCATTGAAAAATGTTAAGTGTGTTTGAAAAAAAAATTGTTAACACTGTTTTGTTTCTGTACATGCATTTTAAAATGTCCCTTTCCGTTGATATATGAAAACTTAATTAGTTTTCAACATTTTTTTTTATTTTGTGTATCCATATCAAAGTATGCTGTGTAGTGTGATTTTGTTTTTGTCAAAACATTGCCCATTATGTTCAAACTACATTTTGAGTCTTTTATTGTTTTAGACTAAAAATAAAGAAGAACGAGTTAGTTCTTGTGCATGGAGCAAGTGGGGCAGTGGGCTCAGCAGCTGTTCAGATCGCAAAGCATATCGGTGAGTTATCACATTTCACATATTTTGAGAAAAGAAAATGCACGTCTTACATATTAATCCACAGAAAAGGAAATTGCAGAGAAAAATTGCTTATGGGTGACCATGAGCTTTCAGCTCTGGTATTTTGTGCCGGAAATATACTTGTAACGAAGAAGGAAGCGAGCCCAAACGGCAAGCACTGTGGAGAAATTCCTAACGCACAGGGCACAGTGTCTTCCCCCATTGTAAGGGTTGTAGTACACTTGGGCAAGGAGGCGGTGTTGGACTTTGCCCCAGACACCAGCAACTAGTTCTATACACAACTTAAGGTAAACGCACCAGTAGCTGACAGTATAAGAAACTATACGCACTTAATAATCCGTGGTTTTGAATAAATAGGAACTAAAGAGATATTACGGATTTTATGTGATTCTAAATTTAGTGTAGTTTTCAAATTTGTCATACAAAAAGGATTTTTTAAATATATTTTATAACATTTTTAAACTTAATTCAACCTTTGTACGTGTTCCAGTGGCTGACAGTGAAAAAAGTGCTTGTACCAGTAGCTGACTGTTAGTTGCCCCAGTAGCTGACACTGGAACTAAATGTACTTTAGCTGCTAAACCTAAGGGTTTTATAATTTATAAGACGATTAAAATCTAACTTAATAATTAAATTATAAAATCATGTAAAATGTTGTTAAGAAAATTTATTTTACATATTTTAAAATAAAAATTATTTACATTAAAATATATATATTTAAAAATATAAATTTTTTAAGATAATTTGACTTATAAATTTAAAAAATTAAAATCATTTTATAAAAATGTGAGATCACATAAATTATAAATAGCATCCAAATTTCGATGGGTAAAACCAATTTAATATTGTGCAAGTAGCAAATATCCCCTGTCAGCTAGTGGAACTTGTATGGCTTTTGTGTACCAAAGCCTGACATTGATATAATTTTAAATCCAAAACCCCTAACACCCTAATTTTATCATGAAATTGTCAACAAAGGTATAATTGATAAAAATAATGAGCCTAATCATTAATACTATTTAAGAAATTTAACGAAATGACAAAAAACCAAACTTACTTTCTTAACAATTTCATTAAGGGAATCGACTAAATGTGATGTGTACAGACAGGGTCGCTTTCAAACGACCACCATTCCGCGAGTATGGGCTAAATTTCGCTGATTTGTTTGTAAACAAATCTAGAATAAACATATGTTCTTCTAACAATGCAATCATGTGTAAATATTTTTAAGAGACCACATTATAATGTTAAGAAACTCAAACTGTCAGCTTCTGGAGCACTGTCAGCTACTGGTGCATTTACCTTATATGTACTATTCAATGTGTCCTCTGTACCTTACTTCTCTGTGGTTAACCTAATTTACAGAGATAAATCGGTGATGTTTACTCACTTTAGTCCAACAATTTAAAGTTCAGTCAACCTAGAGTTTGTTATTTTTTACTAGAACACTCTCGTTCAGTCATAATGAGACCTAGTGCGTGCAAGACTGTATTCAGTGCCTTTGGCATGTCCTGCTTGGTCTGGTAGTGGTTTATAGATTTTGGCATGGGCCAAAAAGCCCAAGGAACAAGGAACTGAAATTTCACATGCAATCCGAATGTGAGACCCTGTACACTCTTGTTGTACTTGTGCTCATAAACAATAAATTTTCCACACTTGGTGAAATGTGGTTTTGACGTGATTGTGTCAAGTGAAAATATATGAAACAAAAACAAACTAAACCACCTTTCAGAAGCTATTATATGGGATTCTGTGCCGATTTTAAATTCAAAGATTTAAAATCCGCGCCAGGCAATGGACAAGTCAGTCCAACATGACGTAACGCGGAGGAATACTACACTCGAACCGTGTCGCGTGCAAACGTCTCGTCGTCACTCGTGGCTCAGTAATCGCGTAGTCAACATGTGAAGTCGCGTTTTGTCGCTGGTGTAGGACGAATTTATTAATATCTTAATTCGTAGCTCGGAAATTAGCGTTCGGGCGGAAATTGTACGTGCATCAAACGATCGCAATTGTCAAAATTTCGCCGAATTGCATTTGGGGGTGTGTTTTATTAGTATTAAGTCGAGACAGTTGAGATGCCGGATTGATTGTTCGCGTTCGTGATGAAAATTCGTACATGCATCATATCGATAGCAAATGTCAGTTTCTAGCGAATAGCGGGTCGTCGTGAAGGTATTTTCAATTGAATCATTAAACGCCAGCTCGAAAAAACAAGAATTAATAAGTCCTACACCAGAAAAAACCGTGTCGTGATGTTCCGCTCGGTCAGACAAAAAGTCACAAATTACCACGAGTCAGTTTTTAAATGTTCGGTACGCGTGAATCTTCGTCGGAATGAATGTGTATGTGTCGACATGTGTACGTAAGTAAATGTTTGTGTTATTTGTGTTTTAGTATTAAAATAGTCTTGCCAATCTGCCATTTTTTCACATGTTCCACTAGCTTTACAAGTCAGAAATCATGTCATAGCTGGTCTGAAAATTTCATGTTTCATTTGGTATACCTTGAGCACATGGTCGCAATTCAGGATGAAAAATGTTTAATTGAATTTTATCACGTTATGCAAAGAATTTAAGTTACATTAGTAATTATAGTCAATTGAAAATTATTTATTAAATTAAATTGAAATGGTCTATTATTTTTAAGAACAATGATTGTCTGTGATATTATTTTTTTGTGTTCTATGCAAAGGTCAAATTCTATCATCATCAGTATTATTATTTATAACGTTTTGTATCTCATATAAGGTAATAATTTTGAATAGAGTGTTACATTTTTAAATAGTGAGAGTTTGATTGTGTAACGTAAATGGGGGTAACAGAGTGCTCGGTCGAAGGCTAGGGTTGACAAAAGGTCATGAGGATAGACTCCCATTAAATTCATAAACATTAAATACTTAATAAAAATTATCAATTAATCGACTCAGTGGTCGATTGGCCCCGTTGCATTGATCAGCAAGGAGTGATGTAGATCACAAACTACATAATAGTCCCTGTTTGATTAAATTGTAAACTGGCCAGTTTGATATATACGAACATCCTTGGGGAGTCTGGTGGCCTAAACTAAATAAATAAAATTGTCAAGGCTAGGTTTTCCCGAGACTCTGCAGTGTTAAAATGTGGCAAACCACCAAACAACTACAATCAATTATCTCACTCTCTCTTTCAAATATTAATAAATTGTGCATAGAGTTTATTACATTGTTTATATTCATTATTTGTATCACAGCTCGTAATTCTGATTCATTATACAGTATTTTTACAAATCATCATCTTATCATTATCCTGTGTTTTATATTATATTATTAATATTATACTGGTAAATTTAAGAGTATTGGTTTAACTGAAGAAGTATACAAAGTATACACAATGAGTGTTGATGATCACATTTTTTAATATCAAGTTGGTGAATTCATGAATAATCGGCTTAACCGAAATCCAGTGTATACAAACATCTTGAAGTCATACTTTGATAAATAGTTTCTGAACAAACAGTTTCATAAATATTTTCAATCAATATTTTAATATGTTATTATTTGCAGTATTACAGTTTTACAAAGAAAACAATTCACATCACAATCTTTCATCTGAACTGACATTTCAATTCATAGAGTGTTCAAATAAACACATCCATTAGTTTTAAGAAGTGTTAGAATTAAGCTGAAGAAGGTGTGAAGGAGGACAACATATCAGACCTCTCACGGTCCATAAATCGGACTTCTGGGATGTTTAATTACAGGGCCCACACTTAACATCTTTAACTCCACTGCGCAGCTCTGTGATTGTAATGTCCTCAGTAGTTCAATTAAAATTAAATTAAATTCATTAAAACCCCACCAGGGGGCAACTTTTTGTTATACTCACACCTGTATGAAATACCTAAATTGTATTACATAAAGGTGTGAGATGATTTTGCTTGATGGAATGATCAATTAAGTAAAGAGTATATTTTGAATATAAGTAAAGAACTTTTTATTTTTCTTTACAAAAAGTTATTTTTTCTTTACAAAAAGTGGTAGCAGAGCGTGGTTTCCACTTTTTGTAAAGAAAAATAAAAAGAATATTTCCTATATTCTTTTTGTAAAGAAAAATAAATGTTCTTTACTCCATTTAAAACGGACACCTTTCCTCCTTAGCATATTGAGTGGACGACTAACACTGGAAAAATCTGGAATGAATTTCCCGTAATACGCTGCCATTCCCAAAAATCGTTGAACTGCTTTTAAATTTCGTGGTCGCGGGAAGTTACTAATCACTTCGGCTTTGGTTTCGTCGACATACAATTTTCCGTCTTTGACGACGTGTGACAAAAATCGAATGCCGCGTTTCGCTAAAGTGACCTTGCTTGGTTTCACAGTCAATCCGGCTTCTCGCAATCGTTGTAAAACTTGTTTCAGATCGCGATAGTGTGTCTCTGGATCAGGACTATAAATACAAAGATCATCTACAAAATTGACGACGCACTTAAACTTCAGATCTCCTAACACCTCGTCGACAATTCTGCCTAGTACCTGACTACCTATTTTAATACCCTGGGGACAAGTTCGTGGTTGGTACAATGCGTACCCTACATTGAAAGCTGCGTATTTTCGACTGTCAGGATGTAACAAACACTGATAGTAACTGTTGTTCAAATCGAGCGTAGTAAAATATTTAGCACCTTTAAAATATTGAAAAATCTTATCAACTTCGGGCTGCGGAAAACTATCCATTTCGATGTATTTGTTTAACTCCTTGTAATTGACAACTAGCCTATACTTACCAGCTTCTTTCTTTGGACGTAGAAATGCACTAGAACTGAATTCAGAAACACTTTTCTCAATGACACCTTGATCTAATAACTCTTGTATTGTCTCTCTCATTATAACCATCTTATCAGGTGGTAAATGATAAGGTCTCTGACGAAACGGAACGATGTTATCGCTGAACTTGATTTTATACGGTTCTGTTTTCGCTGTACCTATTCTATTTGTTATGACGTCGTTAAAGCTGTATAACAAATCGTCAAATTTTGTTTTCTGTTCAGGAGTGAGGGGAGAATCACCTAAATCTTGTTTTTCGCAACGTGGAATCTCATCTTCGCCTACTAAACAAAGAGAATGTTCGTTGTCAGCAAAGTTGAATTTTATTATTGACTTATTCAAATCTATTGACATCCTTGTGAAAGTCATGAAGTCATAACCCAAAATCATTTTGAACGGCAGTTGATTCACAACCCAAAATTCGTAGTTCCAGGAAAAATCGCCTAACTTCAAATGAATTGTAGCTTAGTATCTGACGGTGATTTTGTGCTGTGACGCAGTACCCATGGAATGACTTACCTTATTTACATTTGACACCAGTTGTTTATCTTTCAACATATTGAATAATTCTTTACTAATTAATGATCTACTACTCCCAGAGTCGATCAAAGCAATGCATTTTAATGAGCTGTCGAACGTAACATGCGCAAATGGCAACTTACCACTTAAGTCTACGGCTTCCATTTTGTTTTTGTTGGGGATGGTCGCGAGTTTTGTATGACACCGGGCCCCCTCGTCGATGTCATTTACCAGTTTAAAGAGCTCCTACAGTTTCTGGCTAAATGTCCTTCTTGATTGCAACGAAAACATTTTATGATTCTTTCGGCGGGTCTATTCCTGAGATCGTTGGAGTCGTTACGACGGGGAAAGGGTTGTCGGGGTCTCTGAGAAGGAATAATTTGGGGTGGGGGTGTGTGAAATTGTGGTGTGAAAACCGTCGGTCCAAAATATCGAGTTTCCGCCCTGACGGCACTTGTGACTCTTGTAGCTAGTCTACGAAGTTCTTGAATTGTGTTTGGCCTAGAATCGAACGAAAAATGAGATTTTGTTTCCGGCCTACATTTATTCAGCGCTATTTCTATGACCTCTGTTGGCCAGCCTTCATGTCGCTCACAGTGGTTACATAACATGACTCAGATGATTCATTGTTTCTCAAAATATGTAATTATGAAAATGTTTAAAACAATTGACCTCAGTTTGACTCTATTTACTCAAAATTGAAAACTATTGCACATGTAAATATAAATGTAAATATAAATATAAATAATCTCTGTACGAATATGACACAAATAAATAAACAAGTAAACAAACACAGAAATATCAATGTGGATAATTGCCTTAGAGATAACAACTGATACCCTTATCAATGCCAACCTGCCTTGGTAGTAATGCCAATCTGCTTCCTTGTTACCAGACCTCTCAAATTAGTGCTATCACTTTTTGTAAAGAAAAAATAACTTTTTGTAAAGAAAAATAAAAAAGAATATTTCCTATATTCTTTTTGTAAGGAAAATAAACGTTCTTTACTATATTAAAAATATATCTTTTTACTTAATTGATCATTCCATCAAGCAAAATCACCTCACACCTTTATGTAATACAATTTAGGTATTTCATACAGGTGTGAGTATAACAAAAAGTTGCCCCCTGGTGGGGTTTTAATGAATTTAATTTAATTTTAATTGAACTACTGAGGACATTACAATCACAGAGCTGCGCAGTGGAGTTAAAGATGTTAAGTGTGGGCCCTGTAATTAAACATCCCAGAAGTCCGATTTATGGACCGTGAGAGGTCTGATATGTTGTCCTCCTTCACACCTTCTTCAGCTTAATTCTAACACTTCTTAAAACTAATGGATGTGTTTATTTGAACACTCTATGAATTGAAATGTCAGTTCAGATGAAAGATTGTGATGTGAATTGTTTTCTTTGTAAAACTGTAATACTGCAAATAATAACATATTAAAATATTGATTGAAAATATTTATGAAACTGTTTGTTCAGAAACTATTTATCAAAGTATGACTTCAAGATGTTTGTATACACTGGATTTCGGTTAAGCCGATTATTCATGAATTCACCAACTTGATATTAAAAAATGTGATCATCAACACTCATTGTGTATACTTTGTATACTTCTTCAGTTAAACCAATACTCTTAAATTTACCAGTATAATATTAATAATATAATATAAAACACAGGATAATGATAAGATGATGATTTGTAAAAATACTGTATAATGAATCAGAATTACGAGCTGTGATACAAATAATGAATATAAACAATGTAATAAACTCTATGCACAATTTATTAATATTTGAAAGAGAGAGTGAGATAATTGATTGTAGTTGTTTGGTGGTTTGCCACATTTTAACACTGCAGAGTCTCGGGAAAACCTAGCCTTGACGATTTTATTTATTTAGTTTAGGCCACCAGACTCCCCAAGGATGTTCGTATATATCAAACTGGCCAGTTTACAATTTAATCAAACAGGGACTATTATGTAGTTTGTGATCTACATCACTCCTTGCTGATCAATGCAACGGGGCCAATCAACCACTGAGTCGATTAATTGATAATTTTTATTAAGTATTTAATGTTTATGAATTTAATGGGAGTCTATCCTCATGACCTTTTGTCAACCCTAGCCTTCGACCGAGCACTCTGTTACCCCCATTTACGTTACACAATCAAACTCTCACTATTTAAAAATGTAACACTCTATTCAAAATTATTACCTTATATGAGATACAAAACGTTATAAATAATAATACTGATGATGATAGAATTTGACCTTTGCATAGAACACAAAAAAATAATATCACAGACAATCATTGTTCTTAAAAATAATAGACCATTTCAATTTAATTTAATAAATAATTTTCAATTGACTATAATTACTAATGTAACTTAAATTCTTTGCATAACGTGATAAAATTCAATTAAACATTTTTCATCCTGAATTGCGACCATGTGCTCAAGGTATACCAAATGAAACATGAAATTTTCAGACCAGCTATGACATGATTTCTGACTTGTAAAGCTAGTGGAACATGTGAAAAAATGGCAGATTGGCAAGACTATTTTAATACTAAAACACAAATAACACAAACATTTACTTACGTACACATGTCGACACATACACATTCATTCCGACGAAGATTCACGCGTACCGAACATTTAAAAACTGACTCGTGGTAATTTGTGACTTTTTGTCTGACCGAGCGGAACATCACGACACGGTTTTTTCTGGTGTAGGACTTATTAATTCTTGTTTTTTCGAGCTGGCGTTTAATGATTCAATTGAAAATACCTTCACGACGACCCGCTATTCGCTAGAAACTGACATTTGCTATCGATATGATGCATGTACGAATTTTCATCACGAACGCGAACAATCAATCCGGCATCTCAACTGTCTCGACTTAATACTAATAAAACACACCCCCAAATGCAATTCGGCGAAATTTTGACAATTGCGATCGTTTGATGCACGTACAATTTCCGCCCGAACGCTAATTTCCGAGCTACGAATTAAGATATTAATAAATTCGTCCTACACCAGCGACAAAACGGGACTTCACATGTTGACTACGCGATTACTGAGCCACGAGTGACGACGAGACGTTTGCACGCGACACGGTTCGAGTGTAGTATTCCTCCGCGTTACGTCATGTTGGACTGACTTGTCCATTGCCTGGCGCGGATTTTAAATCTTTGAATTTAAAATCGGCACAATTCTTAACATGAAAATAACAAGTGTAATCAAAACGACATGATGCCTGGCACCAGTTGAGTTCAGATTTAAAACAAATAGTTGCGGAGTTCATTGAAAGAGGACTTATTATATTTGTATGACTCATTAGGGAAAAAGCATCCATAAAACTCTCTAATCCACCTCAGAAAGAATAAACTTAGGCATGTTGTTCTGCATTAAATTATGGAAAACCACATTGCCTGGCTACACTGGACCAAATCTAGTTTTAAAAAATTTAGGTTCTGTAGGTTCTAAGCTAATTTAGGTTCTTGTAGGTTCTAAATTAGCCTACTGATTTGTCAAATTCAACACCACTGAAACATTTCTTCCAAAATAGAGATTCATAACTAACATTAGTTTTATTTCCTTTCTTAGGAGCAATTGTAGTAGGGACCGCTGGTACGGAAGAAGGGTTAAAAATGGTGAAAGAGATTGGAGCAGACTATGTTGTCAATCATCGGTAAGTCAAAAAATGGAAACTATTCCTTTCAATAAGTGAGTTAGACATAATAAATTGATTACATTTTACCTTAAAATGTTTCAACGGGTCTCTTGTACTTGTATTGCTATAATGTTCTCCCAAGAATGAAGAAGTAACATTTTGAGAACAGATAAGCGATGTTCCGGTACCTTAAAACAAAATATAGCATTTTCTATATTAGATTTTTACTTGCTTTGTTCCTCAGCGTTTTAGTTTTATTAATATTGGATTACTTATCATTGGGACTATCATACATGCTAGTTTGATGTATCCAATTCACTGAATACAATTAAAATAAATATTGAATGTCATATGAAATTGTGAAGTGGAAATCAGAAATATTCAATATAAAATCTATTTTTCTAACTGCCAAAATTTTAATAAAATAGTTGGGAATTTTAAACTTGGAATCTATTTTTTCAGCGAAGCAACACACCTTACGCAAGCGTTAGGTATGGTACCAAATGCTGTTGGGTTTGATGCAATATTAGAAAATAGAGCTACCACTAATTTGGCTAAAGATTTAGCATCAATTGGTCCAAAAGGAAGGATAGCGGTAAGCTATTAAAATATACCTATTTTAAGTGTTTTAATACCAAATAACACTTAGTTTATCTAGGTTACTCCTGGATTACTTGGGTTAAGTTGTTCTAACAAGTAATATATTTTATTGAGACCTAAAAATAAATTTACCGTCACAGTAAAATAATAAATTGTGAGTTCCTAAGGCATATTTAATTTTACTGTGAAGACGGTGCAATCAGGTTTGCTTTACTTTATACATTAATATTTCACTTTGATGGTTAAAAGCTGAACTGTTGTAGAAATGCACACCATATGATGCAAAAATATGATAATTATTGATTTACAAACGCAGAAATCACCATTTGTTACTATGACAACTTTCACTTATTATCCTAATCGTTAGGATTAGGATAATAAGTGAAAGTTGTCCTTAAGCCACGGAAAAAGACACTAACCAGGAGTCTCACTGAGCCAATTAGCCAATAAAAAGTTGCGTCTGAATTTGCTAGTGTCTCCACCAAATTCTTGTAGCGCTGCATTTACTGTTATTATTTCAAAAGCATGCATGAAGTGATGTCAGTTCTATTATCCCCCCCCCCCCCCCAATCTGGCCTAGCTCACCAGCAATAGCATCGGTCCTATATTCTGGTGTAGACATTAGCAGATTCAAAGGCAAAGTTGGCTCAGTGCGAGTTCTGTGCTTTAAATCAAAATCTCTTCACAAACTGTGTTTGTATGTTTTTTTGTCAGCTGATTAATGTTTAGGTGGTTGGAGCTAAAGAGAGTGTGACTGTAGATCCTAGACTGTTGATTAAAACTGAAGGTTACGTCACCGGCGTGAATGTGGCCAACATGTCTAAGGTAAGCTAATGACTAGTTTTGTACACAAATAGCATTAGTTGTGTATACACTTATTTTCAAAAACACTTATTTTCCAGTGTAACCAGATCATCTGGTATTCGGTGTTCGTATATGTGATTATAGTAGGAAATATGGTATAGTATTAATCTAATACTGTATACAGTCCTCTGTAATTGCTAATACTACAGTTGTTTCAGAACTGACATTGTCAGTATTATTGTTACGTTTGCCAGATAGTTAGCTGTGAACGTGCTATACAAGTTTATCAATTTACTACATTTATGTTTACAAATATATCAGCTGTAGATTAGGCCACTTTTGTAACTTACTTGAATTTTAAAAAATCAATATGACAGCTCCAACCAAGGCTGCCACATCAGTTTAGGAATAATCGGGACATGGCCCCCCTCCCCCTCCGGATTAACATAGGCTTAAATACAGGCATAAAGAACCAAAATTGGGACGGGTGGCAACCCTGGCTCCAACTGAATCAACTATAAGGATGTGTCGAATCCAAATCTCAAATCCATCGAATCCTAAGAAAAGATTCTGATTCAAGATTCGATTAACAAGTTTCGAGGGTCAAAAATAATTACACAAAAGTCATATACTGTGACATTGACTAACCATAGAGGTTATTGTCTTAGTGGTGGTTATAAATATTATATGGTTCCTTTTTAATACTCGAGATTTGAAGATTCGAGATTCAATTTTTTTAGGATTCTGATTCGATATTCAAAATTCCTGGATTCGACCATCACTAATCAACCAGCATTTTCCAATACTAAGAAAAACGTTTACTAACTTTAATACTTGGAACCTCCAAAACACAATTTGGAAACCATTTTTGTTAAATTTTTCAGCAACAATGGAAGAAATATATTGAAGCAATAAGCACCGGCATGCAGGAGGGTTGGGTGAAACCTGTCATTGCCAGGGAATACCTCATGGAAGATATCCAGCAAGCCCATGAGGACTTGATGAAGAAACACGGACACCATGGAAAGCTTGTGTTGAAAATTTCATGACATTCATAGTTACCTGTAGATTAAAAATATTTAAAAATGTAAATAAATAAATAAATTATAAAAACAGATGTCCTTTTGATTTTCCTATATACTGTGGGTCGTCCTAGAATCTACAGTACTCATTTTCACTGGCTCATACCGATTGATAAAAAATTATACCATAATTTTGTTTGTTTGTACAAAAAATTATTAGTTGATATGGAGAGATAGAAACTTAGTCGATGGCAGAACGGCAGGCAACAGATATGTTTCTGTCAAATGTAATTCCTTCTCAGTTCACCTACTTTGAATCATGTGCCAATACTTAACGGCAAGTTATTGTAAACTTAGAAAGTTGATAGTTTGCAAAAACATTTTTAGGCAATAATGTCAACTCAATCAATAGAATCTAATCTGTGAGAGGCACGTACAGATTGCTTTAGCTGATAAAAATGTGATGTCGACTTCAGTGTTCAAAATATTGGTATAAAATAGTAAATTGGTTAAACTTAAGTTTGGAAGGATTTTAGGTTTGTGAGAGAAAATTAGAATAAGATTACTACTGTAATGAAAATAGATTTATTTTAAGTATTTTTATTTACATTTAATAGTATTACAGCAAGTTTTTGGTATTTAATCTATATAATATTCTTTAATAACTTAAGAACAAGATGAATTGTTATTTACACAGAGCTGTAAGAGCAAACAACAGTAATGTTTACAAAAAAGTGTCAATAGTATCACAGTCTCAATGATGGTGTGGTGATGATGATTATTTGTATTGCTAGGCTCAGAATAAATTGGCTAAAAAGTACGGTATGCTACTACTATCTCTCTATCGATAGACATGGCGGTTGCTGGGGCCTGACATGGATTATGATTCCTTAATCATAATTCATATCTCCAATAAATTCTGTAAGGGGTTCAATTTAAAAGCCAAGCTTTTATATTAGTGATCACCAGAAGCGTCTGCAAAGATTGTGCTATTGAAATATCAATTTTGCCTCAATCACGGTAGACAATGAAGTCTCTGCAACAGCGATATATGTTGAATGATGATTATGTTAACGTGACCACAGGAAACGTTCAAAGTTTCACTGTGATTTGGGGAGACAAAGATGATGCTTGTCTGACCGAAGAGGTTTATCCTCTGTACGTCCACCGCAACCGCAGGGGACATTCACGATTTCGGAGCGTGGCCCACAGGTCAACATTTTATAATTAAAAGCAGACGCTTAATACTGTTGCGAAAAATTAATTTTTTTATTTATTAAACTTTTAGTCTCCTTGATTGAACGAGAGCTCAAGATTAAAATATATTTATCAAGAGAACTTCTTTGCGCACTATGGCACTCAGTCATGAATGGGCAGTAGGCCTATAATAAAATCCACTATCCAAAGAATGTGTTTAAGAATTTTCTGATGAATATTATTAACATATAAAAAGGACTTTTCAGAATTTTCAGTCTTGCTTGGCTGTAGTTAATATGATGTAAATAAATTACTCACCTCAAAAATGTAGCCCATATTTAATATTCAAATGCTAAGTTAAATTGAGTATTTAAATTTTTTACATGTATGATATAGACACAAAAAATAATTTGTCAGTCTAATATCATTGTGTTCTCTCGTCCCTATCGTAATTATTGCATGAAATATAAATCTCTTACGTAAACCAATCATCTGTAAGCTAAACTCCTTTGTAGATAAAATCTTATTGAATACCAAATTAGCTTTCCTAACACAATTCCCTTAGAAAGTTTCAGTCTTACATTCAAGAAAGCTAGAGTATTTTAAGTACTAGTTTCCCATAAGCTCCATGCGATTTTATCAAGTCTGTGTGTGCTTGTTGTATTTCCTCCATTGCATATTCTTTGCCGACAACTGGGCTTAGCCATCCATTCTCCATACCAGCCACTAAAGCTGATGAGTATTGAATGAACTCTTCCTGCAAAACAATAACATTTTAACGGAAGAGTTAGACGAAGAAATTGTATTATCGTACTGCTAAAAGTTTTTAAAGCTGGTTTTTCCTAGGTGTGGAACACGGAGAGCACATGGAGATGTGATTTTCTGCTCATCCAGGGGCTGTCCACCATGCTTTTAGGAAAAAATTTCCATTAATTACCTAAAGCTAAAAGAGAGCGGACTTCGTTCTCTGCTTCCGTGCCCAGGAAAACCCAGCTTAACTTGGGAAAAGAATGTGTAAGGATATGACTTTTTCTTCTAAACACTTTTTGATCTTAATCCTATAGGGTGATTTGTGTGGTCTAAAGATATTATGAGGTAAATGCCAAACGGGGGAAGCCAGTGCTCACTAGCATATTAAATAACTCTGTTATTGAATTAGCCAACCCAGTTACAACAAAAACAAGTGCCACAAAATATTAATATTAAATGTTCAGCTCTTAAGAAGAAAAAATTGATTTCCAAAAAGTTAGATGTTATAAGAATATTGTGGGAGACGACCACCTAGAATAAACTATTAACATTTGGATAGAGTCGGTAGTGCCACAGACAGAAATTAAATTCAAATCCATCGCAGCAATATCGTGGGTTCGAATCTTAGTACCTGCCACTAAATTTTATAAGTACAGTTAAACTGATGTACTACGATATACCACCTCTGCCCTTGCTTTGCTGGATACGTTTCATGAACAGGCCTAAGCCAAATTTTTACGGGCAAATGTAAGCTTAAAAGAGGCCGCCATCTCTCAAAAAAAGAAATTTAGAAGTTATAAGTTACCCAACTTATTACAATCTTACCTCTGTAATTTTCCAAAAGTTGACCCCTAACACTGAACCTTCAGCTCTAATAAAATTACGAGGATCCACTTCTACTGGTCCCCGAGAACCAACTACCTGAGAAAAATACATTGCTGAAATCTCATCTTGTATGAAGACAAATATCGCCTAAAGTCCCTTCACAATATTTAGGCTCTTCAAGGGGAAGGTTTCCTGTGTTGCCCCACCACTATTTTTAGCTTAATCAGCTGATTAGCTGACAGCTGTAGTATCATAGTTAGGACGAGGTGGAGGCCTAAATTTTGTGAAAGGAGTAAAGTAAAAAAAGTAATTAATAGTTGTAGTATGTTCACTACTATTTGTGATTATATTATTGTACAGTCACAAATTATAAGTTGTAAATTCATCCCAATGATTATGGTTTTGAAAATATTGCCACAAGATAACTGAGTGATAATAATGAACATGATAAATCACAATGAAAAATGTAGTGAACAGGGAGAAATGGATCCTCATAACCTTCTATACATTACAGATATGTTAAGGTGGTTACCACCTTTACTGGGAAGGCCTATTTTGTTTTTACCGGAGTTGTTTTCCCCAAATTAACTCCAACGACAGAGCCTTCAGTTCTGATCAGGTTACGAGGATCTACTTGTACTTCACCCCTAGATCCAACTACCTGTGAAATGAACATGAGCGAGAATGAAATGATATGACTCCATAATATAGTTTAGACATAACAATCTATGTAAATTAGTACCATATCATTACTAAAAAAAGGGATAGGGGACCTATAGATAGGTGTTCAGGGGTTTTAGGTCCAGTTTTAAATTGCTTAACATTTTGTCTACCAGGTTCTCGAGTTTATGAAATATAAAAAAGGAAAAATAGCTTAAAAAATAAAAATTCATAAACAATATAAATCACTTAAGAATGTTAACTTTTAGGACTGTAATTTTATAACAAACCTAAATCCAGGATCAAATAGATAGCCCAATCTTTCCATATCATGGAGGTATGAGCATTTCTAAATCTAAAATTTTCTAACAGACACTGGAGATACAAAGTTATAGTCAATGGTTAGTGTAGCAGTAGCAGCCATCTGCTAAATTATACATCTTTGATCTGAATAAGAATTAGATAAGTCAACTACTAATTTCTTAGTTAGGCCTACTTTTGTCAATTTAATGCTTATAACATAACTAATTCAATCAAACAATGATTATTAACCTTAAACACATTTAAACTTACTGCAATTCTGCCACCGACTCCCAAAGCAGCCAGATCAATGCCCAAGTTTATGTCTGCTCTGTTCTCCAAAATGACGTCAAATCCTTGACGCCCAGTCTTGGCCAGGACTTTCTGTAAGTGTCCATCTTCCCTGAATTCATAACAATACTTTTTTTTTCCGAAAAATTGAAAACGCAGGCTATTTCTATGAACAGTTTATACTATCACAAACTTGAAGGTACAGTAGGTACTGTACATGACCCTGAAAAATTCCTAAAAGGCATTTGCAGACAAAAATTAGGTTTAAGAATAACATACTAAATAAATCAACGCTAAAGTTAGATTTACTTCTGCTTAGTTTTAGAACTTAACTATATAACACACGGTTTAAATAATTAGTTTTATGGCCCAACTTACTGACAATCTCACAAAACACCATAGTGGCAAATGCAATAATGTGATCAAGTAGCCTCTAGTAACGTAACTCACTTGCTATGAGTAAATTTCACATGATCCACCCTTCACTAATTTTGTCTATGCTCTTACACTGTGAAATTTAAAGATTGGGACTAACTAAATCTAATTTTACTCTTAAATAGGGCTACAAAGTGACGTAAAGATTTTCCAAGCCGTACCTGTGACTAACTACTACGTCGGCACCCAGATCTTTCAACAGTTTCATCCCTTCTTCACTACCTGCTGACCCAGCTACTGTTGCTCCTAAATGACAAATACATTGACTTAGATAATTATCAAACTTTGGAAAATATAATAAGCATACTAAAGTTAAATCTGTTAAATCTATGCCCGAGTAGCTTGGGGTGTAAGTTGGTTGAATCTCACGAGCGCTAGTGCGCTTTTTGGTCAATGGTGGCATGGGAGCTCAGTTGTCTAAGGCGTTACACTGACTAGTGAGGTCTTGCTACATGTACGGGTTCGAATACCTTACATGTGCAATCCATACTAAGCTAAATAATGTGTGGTTTAGCTGGCGAGAAAGGCCCACCTTAAATAATGTGTGTCCAGTTTGGGTGGTATGGAAGTTAATGACGTTATTGAGTTTAGGGATTGTACACAACACCTGTTTGGCTTCTTTTTTTACATTAATTTAGTATAGAGGAGAACACAGATGTTTCTTCTTTTTGCTTTTATTTCAGTTATGGACATATCGAGTTACAATAAATCTATTATAAAAGACATCAAATGACATAACATTGAAAGTATTAACAGAGAAATATAAGAAATAGGCTTAAGGCTTAAGTTAACCGAATATTAAATTTACATTGGAGAGTTTTGTTTGATGAATTTCAAGAATTATTACCATGAGCCTTTGCGATCTGTGTAGCAGCTACTCCGACAGCACCACTTGCTCCATGCACCATGACTAACTCCTGGGGTTGCAGCTTGCACCTGTGCATTTGTTTTGGGGTAGATTATTGACAATTATACAGAGCAGATAATCAATAATTATAATTTTTCACCCAAAAGTTTGAAATTTGAGTTTTAAATAATTCTATCTTTGGATTAGTTTGTTGATTTTTTTAGGCCTATACAGGGTGTTCAAAAAAGGTGGGGACATAATTTCCGTAGTAATTTCTTGGGTAAAAAAAAACAAAAAAATTTCTTCATAAACATATGACCTACCTAGTTTTGTTTAGGGTCTGTCTGTCTGTATGTGTGTTTTTTTTTTTTTATAAACACGTTATAACTCCTTAACAATTTGAGCTACAACGTTTAAGATTCCAAAAAAAAATTAATCTTTGTGTAGAATCAACCCTTTCCGGACGGGCGAAATCATGACATAGGACAGGAAAATATTAGAGGAAAAAATAAAAATTAATTTTTCATATTTGTGTTTTGTTATACAAGTATACATTCAAGAAACACAGTGGAACACATCATACTGTCAAAATAATTTTTTTATTGTTTTTAAATATGCGGATGTATCCGCTATCCGTCCGCGGATGAGTAGAAATGCAGCGGATATGTCCGCCACCTGTCTTTGAAGATATGACCATGACAACGTTAGGCAATAAATAAAGAACAATATGTAAACAATAAATAGAGACAACGTAATGTTGAGCGCGAAACGTCGAGGGGGGGGGAGCGTAGGAGTTGTGGTAGGTGCGCGGGAGGGGGTGAGGCGCAGGAGGGGGGTTAGCGCGGTAGAGAGGGGGGAGTGCGGGGGAGAGCGCAGTCATGGAAAGAGCAGGATAGTGGCGCCTTGGTTCCGGGAAACATCTGGTTACTGCTCAAGCACCTGCCAGTCTGTCTGAAAAGAAGGCGGATATAACCGCTTCCCGTCCGGAGCATCAAAAACCATATGCGGATATATCCGTCACCCGTCCGGGAAGGGTTAAAACTGTTAACCATTTCAAAAATGGCGGCTATTTGAAATGTTGCAAGATACCTATATCAATTTTAGTAAATTAACTTATATGGAGATTTCAATTATATCTTTCAAGTCAAAGAATAACTGAGAATTTAATTTCCTTCTTGCTATCCCCAATGTTTTCTTCATAAATGATCAAACAGATGAAAACTTTTTCAGAATCTCAACGCTGAAGCTCACACCGTCAAGGTGTTATGAATGTTTTAGTAAAAAACAAATACAGACAGACACTTAAGGAAACATGATAGGATGTATGTTAATAAACTTTATTGCTCTTTTTGTACCAAGGAATCATTACATAAATTTTATGTCCCTACCTTTTTTGAACACTCTGTATATTTATACTAACATTTTACCTTGCTATCAGGGCTTTGTAGGCAGTAAAATAAGGCACATAAACAGCTGCTCCTTGAGAGTACGTTAACTTGTCTGGGAGAGGTATCAAATCCCCGACTCCGCAAGCAGCAAACTCTGCGTACCCTCCATAGTTAGGGGCTCGCAGACAGCAAATCACCCGGTCACCCACCTGAAATGGAGTAAATTTGTTTGTTAATTTCTTCAGGTCTGTTTATTTAGTTTATTCAAAATACACTTAAAGCTTATACTTTACTTTGTGTTTAGAACTGTTTACAAAGTTTGTAATGGTCAGCAATTCTAGATTGACGAAAGGTGAAACTTGTGGAGGATTCACCTGTCCCATCAACTTCCTCCTGAGACTATTTTAGGCAGTGTTGGGGAAGCTACTTTTAAAATGTAGCTAGCTACAACTACTGCTACATTTCTAAAAAAGTAGCTTAGCTACAGCTACAACTACAGTTCCGAAAAAGTAGCTAGCTACAACTACAGCTACAATGAAATGTAGCTACAGCTACAATTTTAGCTACTTTTCCAAAGACGTTACTTTTTATTCCACACACATTAGGTAAATGTAAAATCAATTGTAACTACATTTTTATCGAACAAACATTTTTAAAAAATGTCAGTACGGTATTGTATCTACCTAGATACCTCTAGATTGCATTTAATTTGTTGGCATTATAAACCTCAAATTACAACAACAGAACCAAATAGTTGGGTGTCCCATCATATTTAGTACTTATTTTAAAATATTGCATTATTTTTAAGCATCTTATATGTAAATTTCATTAAGTTCAAAGGACATACAACAAAACTCTATTTTAAAACTCATTTTATTTCTTTAATATAGATTCATTTATGGATGTCTTATATCAACAATTAAGACCAATAAAACTGTAAAACGATTATTTAAAAATACTTTTTTGTGTTACAGAGACTAGCCTACTGAAATTGGAGTTATTGCCTTTCTTTACTTTTAATGTTAAAAACGACATTGCTATACGAGTAACTTTTAACCATAGTGATAAGTTACTTGTTCTATGAATAACACTTTTCAATGTCAAGAAATCGTCCTTTGTCATTATGCATAGGGCAAATTGTGCTTCAACCTAATTGGTACAGAAAACAGTATTCAGCAACTTATCCTGAAATCGGCTTTTGATTTAAACATGTTGAAATTTGTAAAGTAAAAATAACATGTAGTCTTTAATGGCTATGTAACAAGTTGGCTATAGAGATTTTCATTCATTAACGGCCTTAGAAATTATGACAGGCTTGTTCTTGCAAGGACTAAACAGGTATATATTCCTAATAATTGAACTTGGAACTTGGTATTCGTCTTAAATCATAGCATAGCCTAGGAATAGTCCTATACAAGAGCTGTTAGCAGGATTAAACTATGCTATTTTTTCAATCTAAGTTTCATGTTATATGGAGACTTTTTCGTTACAATTATCATGTAGTCTAGGCATATCTTAAATCTCTTTAGGTAATTTCCTCTTTGTTAATTTAGTAAACCTTTGAAAAATCTTCGTAATCTAACCAAGGAAGGGCTTGTGATGTGATGATCCACAATCAACAGCTGAAGCTAGACCAGACCAGTTTTCTCATTATCTCATTATTTTAAGGTTTAGTGTTGGTTTCCATTAAAACCCAAGTTGAAACACTATCAATTTAATAAAGAAACTAAATTGATTACTAATTTCCCTGTCAATCACTTGCAAGCATTCAATAGCTTTCTCTTGTCACTGGTAACGTTTAAACGTCGTCTGCAACTAGCGATTTTATTTTATCTGACAGTAATCATAGAGTAGTAAATTAAGGAAATGAGAGCCAAAAATGTGGATAACACCCATTTAATGGCCTCCATGTCCACAAAACGTTGTAATAGGGAATGAAACGGCTGCAACCAGCTGTATGAAGCCAAGAAAGTAGGCCTAATTTTTTTTTTAAATCTCAGTTTGAAAGCGGTTGTTTCACGTAAGGTTGAGGTTATGATAAAAATCACTATCTCAAACAATGTTAATGTAGCGAGAAAAGTAGCTAAAATTCCGCTACAACTACTTTAAAAATGTAGCTAGCTACTGCTAAAGCTACAAAATCTTAAATGTAGCGTAGCTACAGCTAACGCTACAAAAAAAGTAGCGCGCTACTGTAGCGTCGCTACTTGTAGCGCGCTACTTCCCAACACTGATTTTAGGACTCTTCCATCAAGGAATCTCTTCCATCAAGTTCTCCCACTAGCTATGTCCACACTTGTGCGCTTTTGTGTGCCACGCCAAGCGCATGTCTCTTAACGCATGACTAGAAACAGATGGACGCAAGTGTTCTATTGTTTTAGTTTTAGGTCTTTAACCAACTTGATCTATTGGTTCAAAATTTAGGAAGTTTGAGGGGACGCGATTTCGCCCTATTATGAAATAATAGCTAACTTATTTTTATACATAAAGCTAAAAAAAGTGGTGAGGGAATCCAAGAAACCTTTCCCTAAACCGGGTTTACACGAGGTAGTAAAGCAGGCAGGTTACTTGCCTCTAGTTCTAGTGTATTTCAAGTTTCAATTTACCTGAGGCAAGTAACCTCCCCGCTAACTGGCCACTTGTAAATACGGCTTTAAACCGCCTAAAATTTTTGAATGGACTATAACAACTGTAAGCTTTTTTCAGCGTATATTCTCACCTTGTACTTACTGCCAGTTTGGTTTCCAACTTTCACAATTTCCCCAGCAGCCTCTCCCCCCAAGATGGCTGGTAATTTGGGGTCATACCCGAACTTCTTCCCCCGAATGTATGTATCAACAGGATTCAACCCAGCTGCGTGAATTTTGACCAAAACCTGCAAATATTATAGTAACTTTTTACTGCTTATCTCATACATGTATAGGCCTAAAGAAGAAATATAAATTTAAAACTACCGTACAAATGCTAGCATATCCTAATTTCTTACAGAATTGTATGTTATGAGAGGTTAGTACTGCACCTTTCTATATAGTAAAACAGCATTTGTTAGGTATAGCCTACTGGGATGAAATTCGAGTGTCATTTAGATTGTGAGCTAGTCCAATCTCCAACATTTCTTAATGTGCCAAATTTTCTTGCAATGCTAAGTATAAAATATTTCTTTAATTCTACAGCTTTGCAGAACCCCTCTGAATCTTATTCGGTTTTATATTAAGTTACGAGAACCTTTGAGCCTAGAAAGTTGTTATCATTGAATTCAAGCCTAAACTATTCATCAACAGCTAAAGTACGGTCAAGAATCGGATAGAAAGCAATACGTTGAAATCATGTCTAATAAAAATAATTGGCTGGTAAAAAACAGATCAGAAATAAAACTTAATCACTTTGGTGCCCCTCAGGGTTCAATACTAGGCCCTGTTTTATTACTTTGCTACATTGATAAGATTCCAAATGCACTGTCGTGTGTACCTTGTGGAAATATGTGTTTATATGCTGATGACATTAACTTAAAAATTACAGGAAAAACAGTAGAACAAATCGAAATAGATACCTTTATAGAACTTGCAAATATTAAAAATTACTCACTATCCAACAATCTCAAAATAAACAAAAGTAAAACTAATTTTATATAATTTTCAACTAACTTAAGCAATGTAAAAACAAAATAGAACCGTTGATTATTTTGGATTCTGATGAAATCAGACAAGTTGAAAAAATAGATTTTTTAGGTTTAAAAGTTGATAAACATTTATCCTGGCAGGACCACGTCGATCATGTTTGCTCAAAGATAAATTCAGGGATATTTGCATTGAAAAAGATGTCTTATCTATGTAATATCAGTACTTTGAAAACAATATATCATTCTCTTGTCCATAGCCACATTTCGTACTGTACGGTATATCTTAATATGGAGCTACAGCTAAGACAAATCTTACTTGAATCTTAAAATTACAGCAAAGGGCATTAAGAACAATGATGGGACTAAAAAATTATGAATGTGTTAAAATTCATTTCAAAAATTTTAAAATACTAACTGTCTTTGCCCAATACATTTTTGAAACTGCTCTCATTACGAAAGAAAGTAGGCCTATATCAGATAACGCACAATTATGCTACAATACGTAGGTAAGAGGAAAAGCCCTAAGAGAAAATAGTCGCAACCATCTTTTATTTTCAAATAAAAAACCCACCAATGCCGGAATAAGGCTTTTACGGTTTCTTCCAAATCATTTGAAACCCATTGGCAACATCAAATTTAAAAACAATTTAAAAAATTATCTCATAAGAAATCGCTCCTTACTCCATTAAAGAGGCGTTTTCTCAATTAACCTGATTTTATTGGTAGTTTCTTAGTAAGTTATTAGGTATATAAATTGTAATTTTAGCTTATATGCCTAACTGTATTTACTAGGTTAGGAATTAGACACACTATTCAATGTACAATTTTTTTTTTTTTTTTTTTTAAGGGAGAGGTGGGAAAATGCATTTATGCACACAGGTTGCTAGCCTGTAGTGTGGGACTCCAACGGGCTTAAGGCCCAGAGACTACCCACTAAAAACCTCCTCTACTCTTCGGGCACTAGCCTGGGAACACTTGTCGCACTTCATCAGAACTAGGCCGAGTTTGCCTACGCCCGAGGGGCTTACGCCGTGTCTAGCCGTTTATTTCTTATCAAATCTAGACTATGTTCCGATCTAGATCATTCTTTTTAGCTTGAAAGACATTCCGGACAAAGTGCGACCAGCAGTCCCAGTTGTCCTCACCCTTCAGCAAGGTCTCACAGATCGATTCAATCGACAGCACCCCAAGATGTTGAATGGCCTCCTGGCGAAGCATATCCCATTGTGGACAGTGGAAAAAAGTGTGTTCCACGTCGTCGGGAATGCATGGGCAGTAAATGCAGTCAGGTGAATTCGTTTTGGCCATCAAGTGCAGGTACGACTGAAAATAGACGTGACCTGACAAGAACTGCGTGAGGTAATAGTCAACCTCACCGTGCCGCCGTTCTACCCACGGTTGGACCTGCCTGATGAGTCTGGCAGTCCAACGTCCTCGAGTCTCCCTTTCCCAGCTTTCTTGCCACATCTGAAAAGTGCGGGAGCGCTCTTCTGTTCTTGCAGCGTCCTTTCCGATGTAGCCTTGTCTCTGGTAGATTGCCTTCCTCTCCGCTGCCAAGAGTTTGACTGGGATAACTCCAGCGATCACCAAAACGGCCGGTTCGGACACCGTACGGTACGCGGAAGCGACCCTGAGTGCCGCCTGACGCTGCACTCGTGCGAGCCTCAACCTATACGCCTCCTTGTTAAGCGCGTCTGCCCACACCTCAGAGCCGTAGAGAAGCACGGACTGGACTGCAGACATCAGTAGTCTTCTACGGCTGGACCGGGGACCACCGACATTGGCCATAAGCCTACTAAGAGCAGCAACACTCCTAGCAGCCTTGTCCGCCGTACGGAAGATCTGGTCCCTCCAGCTCAGCTTGTTGTCCACCATGACACCAAGGTACTTGGCGGTTCGCGTGGTTTGGACAACTACGTTACCAACTCGTAGCGGAACGATAGTTTCAATCCGTTTTTTCGTGAGGATGACGATCTCTGTCTTGCTCAGAGCGAGTGTCAGACCATGATCAGTCATCCAGGCGTTTACAACGCGCATGACTTGGTTCAGTTTCAGTTGGGCTAGCTCAACGTTGCGTGCAGCAATGAGGGCTGCGACGTCATTGGCGTACCCAACTAAAACGGTCTCCTCTGGCATCTCAGATCTCAGAAGGCTGTCGTAGGCAGCGTTCCACAAATCTGGGCCGAGTATCGAACCTTGCGCGGCACCGGAAGTCAATGTACAATGTACAATTATTGAATGAAGATATTGAAATGAAATGAAATGAAAGACTCAAAAGAATTTTTCGGTAATGGAATGGTGCCTTTAAAATTATTTTACTTGTACTAAAGCTCGTTTTCAGGCACAATCTAACTTAATTCCAAATAGGTAGGCTACTACATGAGACAGGGTTAAGTTCAGAAAGCACACATGTTCGCACAACATTTTTGGAGACGGTTAGCAGCAATAGTAGGAATATAATAAGCCCAAGTAAATTAACTAGCCTACATCAGGATATCCTACCTGAAGTACATGCCTTTATTTAAAAGCATATACTTCAATTATATATTACAAAATATATATTATAAGCATTCACACCTGGTTTGAAGTCAACTCTGGAACAGGTACGCTCTCAACCTTCAAGACGGAAACGTCCCCGGTGCTTTGGATAACTACTGCCTTCATTGTATTGCTCATATTTCTGTAAAATAATTTTATGAACTCAGTTTATGACAACCATAATGGATGAGACAAAAATGATACAATTAGACTTAGTATTTACAATGGTAGGCTATATAAATTTTGGACTAATCCTACTCCAAGGACCCCCTGGTCCAGGTTATGGTTTATTTCATTTTGTGTTGTTTGTTGTTGTTCCGGATCGGTATGACATACAATAAAAGGTTAAATTACCTGTGTCCGCCTGTCGATCCTTATTTGCTGTGTCCTATTACAGGAGATGCATTTCGGCAGAATAAATTGCCTAGGACTGATGATGGCAATTTATTCTGCCGAAATGCATCTCCTGTAATAGGACACAGCAAATAAGGATCGACAGGCGGACACAGGTAATTTAACCTTTTATTATGGTTTATGTTATGGTATATAGTCAATAGTCAATGGTTTTTTTTGTTTTTTTTTAGGGAGAGGAGGGGAAATGCTATATAGTCAATGGTAGGACTAAACAAAAATGGACTTTTATTATTTTTCTATAACTTACCGGTAAGTTAGGCCTACTGAAGCCAAATTACATACCTTTTTTGGGTGAGATGTACAAGTTTCTCTGAGTGTGAACAGATCCTACTGACAAACAATTTAAATTGCATCGTTTATATAACTTCTTCCGTGTTATCAGTTATTCTGAGTGACATCACATGTAATTTAGATAGTTAGTTCGCTTAATTATTCGGGGTTGCTTTCAATTACCAATAAATTCCCCAATCATCCTATAACTTACCGTACACAAAATGGTTTGTTTTGACAGTTTGACTCACTTATAGCCTACTAGGAAAAACTAAGATTAAGAAATAAATAAGATAAATAATATTACTGTAGTAGGAATTTCGTAGTTTGACTTAACCTATAACATAACCTATGCCATATCAATATAATAATAGTAAACAATAGGGGCAACAGCTGATTACGGGTGACCTGCTGATGCCCGGCAGGCAAATGTAACATACCAATGTGCTGGGTCCTGGGTTGACTCTGACCATTCATTGACTATATAACACTGACTATCATCACGTCTATAGTCAATAATCAGTCTATCATTAATGGCGTGCCACTGGCGGATTCAGAAAATTTACTGCAGGAATCGATATTCCTGGGGGGGGGGGGTATTATTACCCCAGATTCAGGACAAATTTGGAAAAAATATCTATACTTACAATACAACCTAACCTACTTGGCTAAAACGGTATTTTTCGGGGTAAATAATGGATCAACATCCGTATGACATATAGCTATACAGAATGGGAAAAAAGTCCTGGGACGGTTCAATATTTCAAAATGTACCTAATAAAGATAGAGCTTTAAAACTTGAAACACAGTAACTGGACATTAACGTCATTTTAACACACGATTTAGTAATACACTAATTACCTTACCTCATCTCCTCATCAGGGGGACGGCCAGCTAGGAGTCAGAAGAAAATTTCGAAAGTAAGCTTTGTTGATATGCACATCAAATTAAAGGGTTTTATGCAAATTTGAACTCAAACTGACAACCGGGGCAGAAATGGCAGCCGTTTAAAGATTTCTTAAATCTGCTGCCATTTTGAAACTTTTAACGGCTGCCATATTTTATACTCAGATATGCTGGTTCGCGAACTCGTTCGAACTTCGAATATACGTAAATTTACAAGTTAGTAGGCCTACCGAATTTAATACAAATCTGATACGAGACATATATACTGTATATTTATCACACATACCTACATATTTAAATCGGTCCTGTGCTCTTCATATGACATTCTTTAATAACTACTTCCCTATAAGGAAATTCGCTAAAAGAAATCTAATCAACTCGTATTTTACACATTAAGTAAATACAAGGAGACTAACTAAATGCGACTTCGACTTCACAAAACAAAAGGTGTAATTAAATGACGCTTGCAATGAACGAAATGAGATGATCATTACGTTTAGTCTACATTTTCCTTGACTGCATTCTTGCGCTCATTAACAACAAATCTACAACTGATCATTAGGGCGTCTTTCTTAAAGACGTCTTCAATGTAAGATTCTCGCTGTCTTAATACACTCAGCAATCAATATAATAACCCTTTAATCAAACAATAAATTTTAATGTTTTAGATCTAACGAAAAAAATACAACAAAAATGTAAATTTGAATCACGTAATGAACCTATGCATCATTATTGTATTTACTGTAACTAAACGTTAAAGATGGTCACGTTTACTACAGTAAATCATTCTTGTACTGATAAATTCACGCTTCAAAAGCAGGAATGATCCACAATTACACTGGGACAGTTCATAGCAATTACCTGATAAAAAAACTACATATCGTGCTTAGAAATTTCAAATCGTATTCGTACTGCATTTGAAATTTGTTCCAAAACTATTTGTATCGAAATATATATGGTAGGTTAAAATTTAATGAAGGTCAACACGCACATTTGGAAAAAAAATTAACGGAGCTTAACAGAGCACTCAAAGCCAACTATAGTTGTGGAATCACCAATTAAAACGATTTGTCAATTAAAACAATGACTTTATCAGATTATCGTATAGTTTAATTTGGTCGTGCATTAGTTGCTCCAGAGAGATCTTTAATTGTGCCAAGCCTTCAAAGGGTCCCAAAACATTTTCCTTAGTTGCGCCAAGCCCAAGCCATGTAGGAGTGAGTTTCCGGCAGAAGGATTGCCTTGTTTACGTGTCATCCTAACCCAAGCTAACCTAACTTAACCTATGTTAACCTAAGCTAACCAAACTTAACCTAAGCTAACCTAACTTAACCTAAGCTAACCTAACTTAACCTAACTTAACCTAACCTAACCTAACCTACTCAATTCAAACAGGGCCGCCATGGCGGAGTTAGTGAACTTATCGGGTGGCTCCCTAGAGAAGTTGGCGCAATTCATGAATAACCGACTAGCTGACAATTGACACAATTAATGTCCCCTTTAATTTCGGGAGTTTGCACGTACACTGTAAATATATATTTGTGCAAATAGTGAGTGAGCTAAGTAGATACAAATAAATGTCAACACCAGGCTTATTGAGCGGGTAAAATTTATTGATTTTAAAAGAAACTTAGATTGCGAATTGCACATTATATTTTGCCTTAAATTTGTATTATGTGACATATAAAAAATATGATGTGCTCAACAACGTTCTTAAAATATTTATGTCATTTGACAGGTAAAAAAATCCTTTATTCAACATAAACTCCTTTTTCTATTAAATTTTTATTCAATTAAAACAAACTTAGCTTAAATTTTGTTCAGTTGTCATCCTGAGTAAGGAAAAGTAGTGAGTAACGTAGTCGGCAAAGTAAAAATTACAATAAATCAGCTGTTTTTGTTAAATTCAAGTAAACATTTATTGAATCTAAATGAATCCTGCATAAAGTTATACACAATCATGTTATATAGAGTGTCGAATGGTGAGTGAAGCTCACAAAACAAAACAAGAGTAGCTACTCTATGACAAGTCCGCCTAGAGTGTTTTATTGCAGCTGTATTTGGGTCGACACAATTGGTACATTGAAGCCAAAAGCTGTAAATAACATTCTAGCCAAAAGACGGCGTAAAACATGAACTAGTGATCCCTCAGTCAACAATATACTCAATGACAATGTACAGTATATCAATTTATCTATTGAGATGGGGACGCCACGGGGGCGTATTTTAACCCAAATATGAGGATGGGTGTAATGGATTGCGATCTGTGTAGCTTTGTTAGTGACTAAGATCAGCTGTTTCATTAGTCAGGATAATTTATTTAAAGCCCAATGATCAGCTGGGTCCAGTTTCGAACCATCAAATAGCTACTGACTTTTCCCATCAGAAAGGATCGATCCGGCAACGAACATTTTATTGTTAGGTGAGCACCATTACAGCTACCCAGCCTGTTATAAATCATCATCGTGACCCGCACATTTAATTGTTAATCATAGCCTACAAAAAAATCATTTCTTGTTCTAAAAAATGTTTTTGTACAAAAAATGAGACTTTAGTAGTAAATCCGGCTCTGCGACTGCTCAAATATAGATTTTATGTGTTTTAAGATTTTACAGATTAGTGTTAACACCATTATTAGCAATATTGTTGTTGTATTAAACTGCATTAATGTTGTTGACTTTTGTTTATTCTTATGTTGTTTGTGTGTGTTTATCGGATTAAGGAGATTTAATGGTGGTTTTAAACTTTTACCAAGCGCTAAAACAATATAAATCAATACAAATAAATCTTTCTATTTGGTAATGCAAGTTTGAAATCTGGAAACAACTGTAAATAAATAGAAAACTCCCCCTTGGGTATATGTGAGGGTTTTACCTTATTGATTTATGAGTTCCATGATAAACCATTTCCAAAATTAACCATCAATATGCATTACCGTCCCAATAATTAACTGCCAATATTTTAGTCCATTGCAAAGTTACCTGTAAATATTTATCAAACCACTTCCAAATTAACTATCAATGTTTATGTATCCATAAAATTAACTAGTGTAAAGTAACTGTATACAAATCATAATAATGGTGATAAAGCAACTGTTATAGGGCTATCTGTTTCAGTTTTGGAGCTATCATCGTGTGATGAAAATGACTAATCGTCCAGATTTTATAACACTGTAAGCCCAACTGAGGTTGTTTGACTAATGATTGTCGCTTGTTTCTGTGGGAATCCTTCTCATCAATAATGTGAGATTTATTTCAGCGGGAAAATCGGAATCGTCCGTGGTGATTGTTTTGCATTCTTCTCATTATTCAAATTGAATAAACAATCCACAATCGTAGGAGAAATTTATGTTATTATGGTTGAAAACCAAATTCCCATACATCGAAACTTGTTGAAGATAGAATCATGTTATATTTGATCCCGAAATTGTCAGTAACGCGTATCCAATGGTTATAGATTTAATATATTGGATTACTTTAAAAAATTATAAACCTTTTGTTATATATTTAACTGCCCTATAACAGTTGCTTTATCACCATTATTATGATTTGTCAACAGTTTCTTTATACTAGTGATGTATTCCTTTTAGTTTTTACTTTCTCTCCCTATATAATATGGAGAAAGAATTTGGTCACTTCCAAATTTTCGAGTTTGAGTTTTTGTTGGAAATATCGGTTTTGGTCCCCCCTGAATAAAAAAAAAATTGAAATTTCAAAGTGATATCTTAGTGTGTTTGGATGTGTACAGACTATACCTCTGGTCCGATTTTGATGAAATTTGGCAACTAATCCACATGGGATCTTAAACAGTTTCTTTAATTTCTTTTGGTATAATTCTATAAACCCTCATTAAATAACCGAAAATTGGATTTTCACAAAACTACTTTTTCGGTTCAAACTATTTTATTTAGAATTTAGTATGCTATGATCTTTTTGACTTTAAGTTATTGCATTTCTTTGTGATTTTTCCTGTAAAATATTATAATTAGTGCCACCGCATACCCAATTTAAGGGTTGTTGACCGGCTAATTGGGGAAAGTATGTGTCAGTTTGCTGTATACCATTTATTTGTAAGAACCGTCTAATAACTTGCGAATAGTAATCAAATTTAGATCGTTATTCTGACACCACGACATTAAAAGATAACAAGTTTTAACTTGTTAGTGTAAAAAAAATATTTAATTTAGCAAATCATAATTAAACTGCTATAATCAAATATTTTGTCTTTGGGTAAAGTAAAACATGTGCTTTAGACTTTTTACGACACCAGAAGACAAACTTGAACCATCATGTTAATAGGGTTTTTCGAAATGTGTAGTACAGTATAAAAGTTATTTAAAAACATGAAATAAACAATAATCATAAACGCACACTCAACAAAGCTCAACACCTCTGCATTGCAATACCACAGACCTATATTAATACAACACCCG